TGTATCCATATCTTTCAGGGATAATCTACGAATATTATTATAAACACAGCTTAAGAAACAATCGTAAATGCTGCTTTATAATCACATAATTGAAGTTAGAAGTGTGAACATACCTTACTATTATATATAGAACGAGCAAGTACCGTTTACCAATATCTTCTACACGTTTCAACGATATATTCTGCGCGTTTTGCTTACGACGAAACAACGAATGCGAATGGTTTGTTGAAATAAACGAAGCCTTCTTATAATATGTCGCTATCGACTGTTACCAAAGCGCCACGGTGGTCACCCGTAACCACCAATAAGATAAACTGTCCATTGCCAGGTATTACGATCCACTTTGTATGTATTTATTTACTTATTTCTCGACTTCAAAAAAGTATTTGGTTTGCGTACTTGTAATTGCCACTCGTTACGTTTGGCTCACAGTCAGTTGGCTATCTATTCTTGAGTCTTTTCTCCGGAACTCTTAATCAGCTTAAAAAGCGAATGGTTTGTTGCAATAAACGAAACCTTGTTGTAATATGTCGCTATCAACTGTTACCAAGATGCCGCGGTGATCACCCGTGACCACCAATAAGATAAACTGTCCATTGGAGAAGAATGTTGTCTTACATCGTCAATTTATTATTATTTTGCCATTATATGCTCTGAATAATAAAAATACTCTCGTGGCGTCCTCAGCGAAACGTTTGATTTCGGTGTGGCAGTCAAAGTGTCAAGAGATATCCATGTGATCTTAAGGCGTTCTCTCACTTGGCTGAAACTCCGTTCCGCGCTCGGCAACGAAATGTCACCGTGAAAGAACGACGCCCGTATCCACTTACCGTGGTTTTCCTTGAGTTTTTGCACGGCTACCCGCGCGAATACGTCGTAAGGTCGTGATATATTAGTCGCCGTGCACTTGTTGGAATCGAGGGAACTTTGAAGGACGTGGATCAAGAGCACGAGCCCTGTAGATCAGGCGAATTGAACTTAGTACGAAATTTAGCATCCGATGTATCCTGCGGATGGAATCGAAGTTGGACAATCGTACGAAAACTCGGAACTGTGTTCGAACAACAACTTTTATAGATGTACGCGATATGCGAGAACTTGATAAATTTTCACAAAAGAAACGACGAAAAAATAACGATTTCCGAGGATGTCTGCGAAATTGGAATATCTTATCTTGAAAAAATAGATCGAAATTAGAGGTTTAGGTGTTTCGTAGACGAATCGAAAAAGTTAGAATAAATGTTAGAAAGGAGAAATGTTCTAGAAAGAAAGGTTCGACTGTAGAACGAAGAAACGATGATTTTCGAGGATAATATTTTCACGTGATTCTCGAAGTATCGACACTTTAGATAGGAATATTCGATTATCCGATTATTTCGACAAGTACACTCTAATTGTAGTTTTAGATGATAACAATTTTCTTTTTCTTACGATAAATTCTTACGATAACGATTACCATGAAAATTACGAAATGCAGTTAAGCTACTCTACTAACAAGAATATTATAAAAAGTACATCTAAACCTTTCGCCTATTCTGCATTCTTTTAATCCATTTAAAAATAATCCGCAGAAAACTCGAATAAATCCAATTATTCCACACCTACAGCTCCACCATCATGCAGCTACGTATCGTTCTCAACTACGTACTTGGAGCGTGCAACTCGTTTCGTGCAACATTCTCTGCACAACTTAGCGTAATTATCTTCTCTTCTTTTCATCGCCACTCGTATGCAAGTACGATTCTCCTTACAAAGAACCAGAGGAATCTGAATTTCTAAAGAGACTCTGCGTTTTCTACTTGGCGTTATACAGCGCATTGAGCACGTGTGTACTATTTCCAGAGTACGATTCACGCAATCTCCGCCGAGATAACAATCGCGAAGCAATCTTATTTGCACGGGTTTGTCTCTTACGTGTTCCGTGTGTAATCTTGGTCAAATTCAGTTACAGTCGCTGGAAATCGATCAAAGTATCTGGACATTTTACGAGCGGTACGTATATCGTACTGTAATTAAAACACCTTTGAAATTAGCGGAGGCGAACGAAAGTGCAACTTTTCGATGCCACGAACGCGTGACTAATTCTAGATGTGTACGGAATAATATACCGTAGAAGTTATTCCTGGAACGGCAAATAAAGATTCTGCAGCAGCGTAACCGTGCATATTCTTCAATGAGAAACGGTGAACCTATTAATTGCGGATAAATGCTTGCAGATATTGTTGATAAGGCTGCAGATAAGCTGGAATCGTGTAAAAGACGAATCGCTATCGTTTAACATATATTAAGAATGAAACAGTGAAACGATATAGGCGAGGTTTATGTACAGTGATTCACGTAGGTTTTCCAACGCTCCTAGTAATTTTTTATGTACATTTGTTATGTACATTTTTTTGTGTTAAACATTTTGAAACAGCACTGTCTTGCAAATAAAGTTTTTGGTACCGAAAGTTATGTTCAAAAAGAGAAAGAAGGAGACGTAAATGTCTATTCTATGCGTACACAGGAATCATCCTCTTTATTTTTCAATTTTTATTAACGAAAAAAATCAAATAACACGCACATCGATTATTTCTACGAAACGGCCGACTACTGGAAGCATACGTTTACTGCAAGATTCGTATCTATGTGACTTCTTTTCGAACAATGATACTTATCGTTCGATGAGAAAGTAATTCATTCGGAAAAGTTAATTATAAAAATTTAAAATTCAACGAGACTGCACGATAATTGGATGTTCGACGTTCGCCGATTCTGATGGAAATGGTAAAGCACGCGTTTGAGACGCGAGTCCTTTTACAGAGCAACGTCAATCCGAGAATGAATAAAACATAATTGCGCGCATGATTTCATCCTGTCGATCGAGCAAACAAACTTTTATAGCGTATCGTTGATTGAAATTACATAATCGAGGCTTTCGATTGCTGCGAGCGAAGCGCGATGATAAGAATTCCATCGACTGTTCGTGCAATTTCCCTCAAATTCTTTCAGTTTGCCGAGGTGTTCTTTATTCTTCCTCCTGGTCGACAGATATAGTCGTTGGAATTGAAATTGCGCGCTTAAAACTACAGAAATGCGTAAATACTGTCTTATCTGTTAGTTTTATTTTAAGGTTGACGACGATACGTCGCGAGATAATTTTTCGAAAAAAGCTACTAGACTGTTATAATTTCCTGCAACGATTCTATGCAGTCGCAAGAAGAGTAGAGAAACGAGGTATTTTTGTTCTCGACGAGCAGCGCAATGTTTATCAGATACGCTGCGCCACGTTATTGGACCGAAAAGTTATTTTTGGTCGTTACATCATATAAAATAAGACTTTTTATACTACCTGTATAACTGGTCAACAGTTTGTAGACTTTTAAAGAGTAAATATAATACGAAGAAACGTGTAATGAATCGTCTTTTAGCTACGTGTACGATTGTTTGTATAAAATCGCAAGAAAAATGCAAGGCTGACTGACGTATCATTATCACGAAAACTCGAGCAACTAGGCATTTATCAGATTACGTGGCGTTATTAGACTGAAAAATTATATTGGATCGTTACATCAGAGACTTTGTACGATGATTGCAAAGAACGGGTTTATCGCGATCAAATGGAAGGAAAGCAACGTACGATCGTATATTGTCAAGTGCACGTACCGCTTATTTCCAGACGTGTACCGTGAACAACTCGTTGCTTTACGTCCTGAGATCGTGTGGGAGTCGCTCGACGTGCGATTACATCACGCGAATGATGTCACACGTGCGAAATATGCACCAATGGCGTACGAAGCCGGCCACAGACGAATGAATAAACCGCTCGTCCCGTTCTTCGTATCCGCGAATTCGTTCCTTCCTGATACCGTAATCCGCAATTGAAACAAATTGTCGTTGGCTAGGTTGTTGATAGCAACTCATCGTTACGTCCACCAAATATGCTAATTACGTATGTACGTATATATGCAGAGTTATTTTAGCTGAAAGTTCTCGGATGGTCTTTTGTGTAGAAAAGTGGACAAAATGTTTGACAAGTTTCGTACCAAGTATTTTTGCTCAGCGATTCTAACGAATTGAATTTAGCTCGTTTAATAATCAATCGTGATGACCAAACATCATTAACGTTGTCACCAGTAGAGCCAAACGTCACTGATACATAATGTATGATTTATAGATGTGCGTGAATGTACAGTGGCTACGAAAAGTATTTGAACGTTGAAGTATTGAATTAAGTATTGAAGTATTGAATTTAGCACGTTTAATAACATCGTGATGACCAAACATCATTAACGTTGTCACCAGTAGAGCCAAACGTCACTAATACATAATGTATGATTTATAGATGTGCGTGAATGTACAGTGGCTACAAAAAGTATTTGAACATTAAAGTATTCAATTTAGTATGTTTAATAACATCGTGATGACCAGACATCATTAATGTTACCAGTACAACCAAACGTCACTGATACATAATGTACGATTTATAGATGTGTGTGCATGTACAGTGGCAACAAAAAGTATTTGAACATTAAAGTATTCAATTTAGCATGTTTAATAACATCGTGATGACCAAACATCATTAATGTTGTCACCAGTACAACCAAACGTCACTGATACATAATGTACGATTTATAGATGTGCGTGCATGTACAGTGGCTACAAAAAGTATTTGAACGTTATTTCCGAATGAAGCGCCCCGTTACAAGCTTTTACATATTTTTGTTTCTTTTCATAGTATCAAATCTTTATAACCGTGTGAAATTTTAATATACTTGGACCTATGTAATTAATTAGTGCGTAAATGATATAATAAATACAATATTGTAGAGTTCTCGTAATAATTACTTTTTATTTAATAGTGGCTAAGAATAAAACGTTTAATTACCACGTTTGTTTGATTTCATCGATTTCTAAAATTAAACAGAAAAAAAAAGAAAGAAGAAAATGCAAGAAAATTTCGTTCGAATATGAAAATTCTTTACGTATAAAAATCGGAACGTGATGTTGCTTTGTTCCAGGAGCACCCTTTCGAAGGGTAAGAAAGAAGTGAGTTGTTGGTCCGATTGACAAAATGACGACCGACATCTCGGTGGTGCGCGGGGGTTGGGACCCCACGCTACAACAAGAGATTGTCGATGAGTACGAATACGACGGGGGAAACTCGAGTTCGAGACTTTTTGAACGTTCACGCATCAAAGCTTTAGCTGGTACGTTCTCTTTTCCTTACTTGTTATCTTTATATTCGTTAACAAAAACGAAACGTTTCTGTTTGATAAATGGTTTCCAATTTTTGTAGTATGGAGTATTTTCATTCATGAATTTTGAAAAAAACGTGAATGTGATCGAAAAGTATGGTTGGTGCATAGCAGCTTTATTTCGTAAATTCGTGTATATTATACGTAACTTGTAAGATGCAATTTGTAAATGGTCATAAGAAGCATACTTTGTATACGAATAAATTTTAGTAGATCGTTGATGATTTACACGATGATGTATCGTTAATTATTTGTGAAATTAAAACGTCAAAGCTAGCTTTGCCACATCCTTTGATATAGATACTGGGTTGATAAGTGCACGCTTTAAAATGTGTGGCTATCGTAGAAAATGTTTAGTAGTAGCCTTCCGGTGAATCTAAAATCATTGAGTGAGCACTTGAGTGTATTATAAGAATGTATAGAAAAATAAATATCGCAACAGATATCGTGAGATAGATAGCCTGAATTTATTAGAAATGAACTACGATACAGTTGTGGACGACCTGAGAGGTAGAAATAGAAAAGCGATTTTAAAACATTGCAATTTAATAAATTTTCTATACTTACGTCCTTTTTTTTAATCAATTCTGTAATTAAAATGTTGTTATAATATTTACTAAAGTTTCTATTTTCGTGTTTCTTAAACCAGGTGAACGTGAATTGGTACAAAAGAAGACTTTCCAAAAATGGGTCAATTCCCATCTGGTTCGGTGTTCATGCCGAATTGGCGATCTATACGTCGATCTTCGAGATGGCAAAATGCTCATCAAGCTTCTCGAGATTCTCTCCGGAGAACGTTTACCACGACCTACGAAAGGAAAAATGCGAATCCATTGTCTAGAAAACGTCGATAAAGCGTTGCAATTCCTTCGGGAGCAACGAGTGCATCTAGAAAATATGGGATCTCACGACATAGTCGATGGAAATCCTCGTTTGAGTCTTGGTCTCATCTGGACCATTATCCTGCGATTCCAAATTCAAGACATTACCATCGAAGAAACGGACAATCAAGAAACGAAATCAGCGAAAGACGCTCTACTTCTTTGGTGTCAAATGAAAACTGCTGGATATCACAATGTAAATGTACGAAATTTCACTACATCCTGGCGCGATGGTTTAGCCTTCAACGCCATCATCCATAAACACCGTCCGGATTTGATTCAGTTCGACAAACTTTCCAAATCAAATGCTATTTACAATTTAAACAACGCGTTCAATGTAGCCGAAGACAAGCTTGGCCTGACGAAACTTTTAGATGCTGAAGACATATTCGTCGATCATCCTGACGAAAAATCAATCATCACTTATGTAGTCACGTATTATCATTACTTCTCAAAGATGAAACAGGAGACCGTGCAAGGTAAAAGAATAGGCAAAGTGGTTGGTATTGCCATGGAGAATGATCGTATGATACACGAGTACGAAAGTTTAACCAGTGACCTATTGAGATGGATAGAAGGCACCATAGAGGCTTTAGGTGATCGTCGGTTTGCTAACTCTTTAGTAGGAGTGCAATCTCAGCTCTCCCAATTCTCTAATTATCGTACTGTGGAGAAACCTCCGAAGTTTGTCGAGAAAGGCAATCTGGAGGTGTTGCTGTTCACTTTACAGTCGAAGATGCGAGCCAATAATCAAAAACCATATACGCCTAAAGAGGGTAAGATGATCTCGGACATTAACAAAGCGTGGGAGAGGCTAGAAAAGGCGGAACACGAGCGTGAATTGGCACTGCGTGAAGAATTGATTCGTCAGGAGAAATTGGAACAACTAGCAGCTAGATTCAACCGAAAGGCTAGCATGAGAGAGACCTGGTTGTCCGAGAATCAACGTTTGGTTTCTCAGGATAATTTCGGTTTCGATTTAGCTGCTGTGGAAGCTGCAGCCAAGAAGCACGAGGCCATCGAGACAGACATCTTTGCTTATGAAGAACGAGTTCAAGCTGTTATGGCTGTTTCACAGGAATTGGAAGCTGAGAATTATCACGATATCGAACGTATTAATGCTCGGAAAGACAATGTTCTTAGATTGTGGAATTATCTGCTCGAATTGCTTCGTGCTAGAAGGATGAGATTAGAGTTGTCTTTGCAGCTCCAACAGAACTTCCAAGAGATGTTGTACATTCTAGACAGTATGGAAGAAATAAAAATGCGTCTGTTGACCGACGATTATGGAAAGCACTTGATGGGCGTCGAGGATCTTTTGCAGAAACATTCTCTGGTAGAAGCTGATATCAACGTGTTGGGCGAAAGAGTGAAAGCTGTCGTTCAACAGAGCCAGAGATTCTTAGAACACGGAGAAGGTTATCGACCGTGTGATCCAACTATCATTGTTGAACGCGTACAACAGCTCGAAGACGCGTACGCTGAATTGGTACGCCTGGCAGTCGAACGCAGAGCCAGATTGGAAGAGTCTCGTAAATTGTGGCAGTTCTATTGGGACATGGCTGACGAGGAGAATTGGATAAAGGAGAAGGAACAGATCGTATCGACTGGAGACATTGGTCACGATTTGACGACTATAAATCTGCTGTTGTCCAAACACAAAGCATTGGAGAATGAAATCCAGTCTCATGAACCGCAATTGATGTCTGTGGCTGCTGTTGGAGATGAACTGGTTCGTCAGAAACACTTTGGTTCTGATAGGATTCAGGAGAGGCTTCAAGAAATTCTGGGAATGTGGAATCATCTTCTGGATTTGGCCGCTTTCAGAAGGAAGCGCTTGGAGGAGGCTGTAGACTACCATCAACTGTTTGCAGATGCCGATGACATTGATATTTGGATGCTGGATACACTACGACTCGTCTCATCAGAAGACGTTGGCAGAGACGAAGCCAATGTCCAATCGTTGTTGAAGAAACACAAAGATGTGACAGATGAACTCAAGAACTACGCTACAACTATCGATCAGCTTCGTCAGCAGGCATCGTCTCTTGGTGAGCAGGATGCTAAGTCACCGGAAGTGCTGGAAAGACTGGACTCTATAGACTCCAGATACAAGGAACTTATGGAACTCGCCAAACTTCGCAAACAGAGATTGTTGGATGCATTATCATTGTACAAGTTGTTCAGCGAGTCAGACGGAGTGGAACAATGGATCGGTGAGAAGAATAGGATGTTGGAGACTATGGTACCAGCGAAGGATATCGAAGACGTTGAGATTATGAAGCACAGATACAATGGTTTCGAAAAGGAAATGTATGCCAACGCTTCTCGAGTTGCTGTGGTCAATCAACTCGCAAGACAATTATTGCACGTTGAACATCCCAATTCTGAGCAGATCGTTGCACGTCAGAACGAGTTGAACCAGAAATGGGCTGAGCTCCGCGAGAAAGCAGAGAACAAACGTGACGAATTGAACTCTGCTCATGGCGTACAGACCTTCCACATTGAATGCCGCGAGACAGTATCTTGGATCGAGGATAAGAAACGTATCCTTCAACAAACAGACAGTTTAGAGATGGATCTGACTGGAGTCATGACCTTGCAACGTCGACTAAGTGGAATGGAGCGCGACTTGGCAGCCATCCAGGCTAAATTGGACGCCTTGGAAATGGAGGCTCAGAATATTCAACAACAGAATCTGGAAGATCCTGAGGTGATCAAGGGAAGGATTGATCAGATACACACTATTTGGGAGCAGTTGACACAGATGTTGAAGGAACGTGATGCAAAATTGGAAGAAGCAGGTGATCTTCACAGATTCCTCAGAGATTTGGATCACTTCCAGGCTTGGTTACGCAGGACACAAACTGATGTGGCCAGCGAAGATACTCCAACTACCTTGGCTGATGCTGAGAAACTCTTGACACAACACCAGAATATTAAGGAAGAGATTGATAATTATACCGATGACTACCAGAAGATGATGGAGTACGGCGAAAGATTGACCAGTGAAGCTGGTGATGGTGATACACAGTACATGTTCCTTAGGGAGAGATTAAACGCCCTGAAGATGGGCTGGGAAGATTTACGCCAGATGTGGGTCAACAGAAAGATCTTACTGTCCAATTCTCTTAATCTGCAAATCTTCGATCGCGACGCACGCCAGGCAGAAGTGCTTTTGTCCCAGCAAGAGCACATTCTCGCTAAGGATGAAACGCCGGCGAACTTCGAACAAGCGGAGCACATGATCAAGCGTCACGAGGCGTTCATGACCACGATGGACGCGAACGACGAGAAAATCAACTCCGTGGTGCAGTTCGCCGGACGACTTGTCGACGAGGGCCACTTCGCGGCGGACAAAGTCAAGAAGAAGGCAGAGAGCATTAACGAGCGTCGTCGAATAAACCGAGAGAAGGCGAATCAGTATATGGAGAAACTCAAGGATCAGTTACAGTTGCAGATGTTCTTACAGGATTGCGAAGAATTGGGAGAATGGGTTCAGGAGAAGCACATCACCGCTCAAGATGAAACTTATAGAAGTGCCAAGACGGTGCATAGCAAGTGGACAAGGCACCAGGCGTTTGAGGCCGAAATCGCGAGTAATAAGGATCGTCTGCAGCAATTACAACAGGCTGCTGAAGAATTGATTCAACAGAAGCCTGATTTAGCTGAGATCATCAAGCCTAAGGTGGCAGAATTGGCTGACCAGTTTGAGGAACTTGAGACTACTACTCATGACAAGGGTGAACGCCTGTTCGACGCCAATCGTGAAGTTCTTATTCACCAGACTTGCGACGATATTGATTCTTGGATGAACGAACTGGAGAAACAGATTGAAAGCACGGATACTGGTTCTGATTTGGCATCGGTGAATATCTTGATGCAGAAGCAACAAATGATCGAAACTCAGATGGCTGTGAAAGCGAGACAGGTTACCGAGTTGGACAAACAGGCTGAACACTTGCAACGTACGGTGCCTGACGACAAGATGGAGGAGATTAAGTGCAAGAAGGAGAAGGTGGCTCAGAGATTCGCCCAACTGAAAGCACCATTGATCGATCGTCAACGTCAGTTAGAGAAGAAGAAAGAAGCTTTCCAGTTCAGGCGCGACGTGGAAGACGAGAAACTCTGGATCGCCGAGAAGATGCCTCAGGCTACCAGTACGGAGTATGGAAATTCATTGTTTAACGTGCACATGCTTAAGAAGAAGAACCAGTCTCTGCGTACTGAGATAGAGAACCATGAACCCAGAATCAATCTGGTCTGCAACAACGGACAGAAACTTATAGACGAGGGCCACGAGGATAGTCCTGAGTTCCAGAAATTGATACCCGAATTAACCGAGAAATGGAAGGAGCTGAAGCATGCTGTAGACGACAGGAACAAGCATCTCTTGCAAAACGAAAAGGCACAGCAGTACTTCTTTGACGCGACAGAAGCGGAATCCTGGATGAGCGAACAAGAATTGTATATGATGGTAGAAGACCGTGGCAAGGACGAAATTTCAGCCCAGAACTTGATGAAGAAACACGAGTCTTTGGAACATGCCATGGAAGATTATGCAGAGACCATCCGCCAGCTTGGAGAAACCGCCAGGCAGCTCATTAACGATCAACATCCTCTTGTTGACCAGATTGCTGTGAAGCAATCACAAGTAGACAAACTGTACGCTGGTTTGAAAGATCTTGCTGGCGAACGTCGAGCTAAATTAGACGACGCTCTTCAATTGTTCATGCTGAATAGAGAAGTGGACGATCTAGAGCAGTGGATCGCAGAAAGAGAATTAGTAGCTGGAAGCCACGAATTGGGTCAGGATTACGATCATGTGACGCTCCTTTGGGAGAGGTTCAAAGAGTTTGCTCGAGATACTGAGGCGATAGGCTCGGAAAGAGTGGCGGCAGTGAATGGAATTGCAGATTCTCTAATGGCAAGTGGTCATTCCGATGCTGCTACTATTGCAGAATGGGAGGATGGTTTGAACGAAGTCTGGCAAGATTTGCTGGAATTGATCGAGACTCGTACGCAAATGCTGGAAGCTAGTAAAGAACTGCACAAGTTCTTCCACGATTGCAAAGACGTGCTTGGAAGAATCTTGGAGAAACAGAACGCTATGTCTGACGAATTAGGTCGCGACGCTGGCTCAGTCTCAGCTCTGCAGAGGAAGCACGCCAATTTCATGCAGGATTTATCCACGTTGCAGAGCCAGGTGTCGCAGATCCAAGAGGAATCTGCTACGTTACAGGCTAGTTATTGCGGAGACAAGGCTAGAGAGATCACTAATCGTGAAGGAGAGGTAGTTGCTGCTTGGAACAATCTTCAATCGCTTTGCGATGGTAGAAGAACGAAACTGGAGGATACCGGTGATCTGTTCCGATTCTTCAACATGGTTAGGACTCTGATGATTTGGATGGATGATGTAGTTCGTCAGATGAACACTTCGGAGAAACCTCGCGACGTTGCTGGAGTGGAGTTACTAATGAACAATCATCAAAGTTTAAAAGCCGAAATAGATGCTAGGGAGGACAATCTGATGGCGTGTATCAATCTTGGGAAAGACTTGTTAGCCAGGAACCACTATGCTAGTAGCCAGATCAAGGAGAAATTGGCAGCTTTAACTGATCACAGAAACGCGTTGCTGCATAGATGGGAGGAACGTTGGGAGAATCTACAACTGAGTAAATATATAGATATTTTGATTGAACTATTATAATTTATTGTGGATTTTTATGCATTTATAGGAAATTTCAAAGTACAAAAAATCTTTAAAATATCTCAGATAGAATATAGATTATAAGTAGGTGAAATACATTTTTTAATAGTGTTCGTAAAAATACGAATCTATATAAATATCCGCAGTCTATTTATCGTGTCAGAAATGATATGGTCACCTTATTAATGATGTCTGTGTATTATTGTAGTTTTGGAGGTCTATCAATTCGCAAGAGACGCAGCGGTTGCTGAAGCATGGTTAGTCGCCCAGGAACCATACCTTATGAGTCAAGAACTTGGCGTAAGTAATGTTAAATTAATTTCTAACATAATTCTTTAACGATGTTAATAATATTTGATGAAAATTAATGATATAATAAATGTAATTGTTACAGCACACGATCGATGAAGTGGAGAATCTGATTAAGAAGCACGAAGCGTTTGAAAAATCGGCAGCTGCTCAGGAAGAAAGGTTTAGTGCCTTGCATCGACTCACTACGGTTAGTGTTTTTTCTATGAATGAGAAATATTGATTTGTACAATTTATTCAATGAAAACATTTGTACGTGCTACAGTTTGAGTTGAAAGAAATGAAGAGGAGAGAACAAGAACGAGAGGAAGAAGAAAGACGCAAGAAGGAGGAGGCCGCAGCAGCCGAGGCAGCTCGATTAGCTAAAGCAACACCGGTAACTAGTCCAGACGAACCACCGAGCGAAAGGTACCATTAAATTTTAATAATTTTCATTATATGTTTTGCTTCGTATTTAGCTAGTGAAAAATACTTACAATTAGCCAGTAATAAAATTATAAGTAGCACTGGATCTAAGATATAATAAAAAAATTATAATATAAAACGAATAAAATATTGTAATGGTAACTAGGAAATAATATTAAGGAATATAAGGTATAACAGAGTATAATGATTTTTGCATAACAGAGCCGAAGCAGAAGGTGTACCAACTGGAGAACGTCCCGCCGGAGAAGACGAATCACATGGTAAGATAATAACACATGTACTGCATAATGTCTTTTTATCTAAAGACAGTTTGATAAGAGTGTCGTATACGTTGCATTGTAATGTTCACTTTTCAGTGCATTAGAGAATACGAATATCTATTCAAAAAACCGATTAAGATACCTAAGAAAGATAACATTTTCTTTAGATGCTTTAAAACGATATTATCAGTAAATATCTCAATCTAATGTCTTGCAAAAACAACGATAATGCGGGATTGATGATCGTTGAGCGCTCGATTCTACTATAAAGAATGAATAGAAACGTTTTTTTTTCTCTTCTTTTTTTTTTATTGTTGTACTAATACAATATGTATCGTCCGATTTTGCTTTCCACGTATTTTGTACACTTAACTCTCAGGCGACTGGTTTTACAAACTGGTTTGTTTGGATAAGCATGAAATTGCTAACAGCACGTTTATTTTTGCCTTTTTCTCTTTCCAACCTATTATCGCCATTGTGACTCCGTTCCAAATGGAAATCCAATGAATCCCAATTATCGATTCTATCCTATAACGCACCTTAAAATGCGGCACGGAATGCACAAATCGCAGTGGCACATCGCAAGGCTTCTACACGTACACCACAACCTCAAGACAAGCCCAAGGAAGGTGAGTGTCCTGATGAAACAAATATCGTCATCTTTTCGCTAGAAATTTTGTCTTTATTTCCAAATGATTATTTCAAACAGATTGTTTTTTTTTACCTTTTATGTGACTATATATATATATATATACATGTGTATCTATTATATGATCAACGTCATATAACGTATTGTGTTTGTACCATTTTGATGACCATTTAATGCATTACACATCTGCTAATTTATTTATCGTATTTTCTATTTCATTTCTTTGCACAATTCATTTTTACATCACTCGATTTCTTTCATTGTGGCTAACGAAAAGTGCAAAGAATTAAAAATCTTTTTCAGAATATAGGGAAATCATTGTATGTTATGATACAGTATATCTTTTACTAATTTTATTATCGTTTCTTAATGACAACACTCTATTAAATATCAGTGCCTTTTTTTTTATAGAAGGCGATCTAGTTTTTCGAGAATGTCGTGCAATTATATGTTGCTGAATGTTTGTTCAGCAGTAGTAACTACGTATCTGTAGTTGGTCTATAAACGAGGCTCTGATATTTGATGATTGAATTGCACTTTATATATAGATCCCGCTATATCGATCCTTTAAGCTGGTGATGGAGCATAAAATCAAATCATCTGGCAGCGTTTTACAGCAGATTTTCTTTAGTTTCTTTCCATGGAAATATTTGCCCGAATTGTGCAATTATATTTTGTAAGAAATAATGTAAACCTTTTACTCTTTGCAGAAGCATAAAAACTAGCTTCTGAAATTGTAATTTGATCTTTACACAATTCAGGTCATTCTCATAAATTTCACGTGTTCTGTCTTTCAGCATATTCGTAGGCAAATTACTACTGTTTCTCGCTATAATCGCAGCTACGAACCTTTACTTGCTTTTATTAACTATTTTTAGCAGGTGATGGAGTTATTCTACCTGAGACACACGAGTATTTAAAAAAAAAATGATTAATAATATTTCAACCGACATCACGAATATTTTTCAATTAAAATTGAATTTTGCATGAATTATGCAGACATATTCAATATTTATTATATCGATTATATACATTCCTATCATACACGAGTTAATATAATAATTTTTCAAATAAAAGTGGTGGGTACAAATTACGTAAATTAAGTTCTTTCTCTCGATTAATAGTATACAACAAAATTTAATCTTTATTTGAAAGGTAAGCACACACAGTGACTTATATGAAAGTTAGTATTCAAATATAACTTGAACTTTGAAGTATGTTTGTATGTGTATCTAACATCTTTCCTATGCAATAGCAGATGCTTTTAGAGCAGCTTGTCTGTTTATTGTTGATCCATCGTAATCTAAAATCCTTATTTCATCTTTGTTTCATTCCACAGTGCTTAACAATCATTCATTATATCTCTCGGAGTGTTCTTTGCTTATTTTAACAAATAATTTGAAAAATGTATTGTTTAGTTGGTCGTGTTAGATGTTTTGCTTTCATAGAGTGACGCCTTCATTCTCAGTATAATACGATTCCAAAGTATGGCATGTTATAATCGGTGTGATGGTATATAGTGCATGCTCAGAAACCTGCACGTCTATCCATGCGAGGAGAAGAAACACCACCTGCCACCACCCCCTTGAAACCTTCGCAGGGTCTGTCTAGTCCAACAAGTAAGTCCATTTTAAGGATCAATGTCTTCTTTATTTGTCATTCACAAAAAACTTATAAAATATATCATACTAAAAATTATAATCCAAAGATCAATAGGTCGTCTAATAATACTCGAAGAATTCTTTTCCAGAATTTCATCGCATTAAAATAATTAATCCCAATATTAAAAAAAGAAGTACAAAACATAGAGAATCTCCCTCTGAATAAGATTAAACTTGGAAAAGCTCTGCTTCTTCAGTGGCGTTCACGAAGATACGAATTTGCATATACATTGGCGACCTAACGATTACGTGCTAAAATAATTTAGCTCGTCGCTTGTATCGTTTAATTTCTCTCTTGGACCCGCAGGACAGACGCCTCCAAATTCGTCGATGAATTCACACGCCTCCAAGATCCTCAGAGTCTCGTCGACAGAACGAGACATGGAAATCTCACTGATCGCGATATGTCGAATCAATTGGTTTCTATCGATGACGAACAGTCCCTTAAGGCATATTCCTTCTTTTTCATCCAGTACTCCGTACATTCTCGATATATTCTGATTCTTATCGGATAAAAAGGGTATTTTCATTTCGCCCAGACCACCTTGCTTCCGGGGTGTAATGATCCATGCTAGATGTGCGTACGGAGAATCCGTAGAAATGGCAATTACCTCGCAGCCTGTTTGTCATTTCCAGCGAAATTGGTATTATATAATAATTGGTATTATATAATAATTGTACGAAGTAGAGAGAGATGCAAAAGATAACGAACAGAGTAACATATTCAATTTATGAATGTATAATTATATATATGTCGGAGATGAAAGAACATCGGGATTTCCCGTGCGGAATGCTGGGAAAAACCCCGATACTCTAGTCCAGACTTTTACTATAGCTGCACTTAAGTAATAAAAATAAGAAATAGTTTTAATGTTCCAATCTGACTTTATGACGATAGGTTCGGGCTCGATGTGACATAGCGGGTCACTAGACGTAGCCACGGTCACGGGAGGGACGTGTACCCGACAGAGGTATGAAATGATCATATGGCTCTCCTTGAAAACAAAAATTGACCCGAGAAGTGGGGACAGGAGCATATAAGGGCAGTTTCTTTTGGATTACGGGTGAGTTAGTTTGTTAGTTAGTCGTTGGACGAATTGCTGATTGAGAAGTTACCCGAATCGAGTATTACGTTGATACTTGTCCTCCCGTGGACCGTGGATTCGTCATCGAACCTGAATTCGTTGTCACCATCATCTCGACCATCCTATCGCCATTATTCATAGCCTCTTGTAGTGCCCCCATTTGTACCGATAAATATTAGCTACATCCGCGACGGTAGAGTAAGTAAAGGTTCATCGAACGCCCCAAAATGCCATCTTGACTCCGACATATATATATATATATATATTTGTATCTTGAATTTCGAAATTAAAAGAGGAAAGTAAAGGAAAGAAAATAAGAGATAAGTAGCGTATACCTAATTTACTGAATTCTTCGATACGATCATTGAATTGTATGATTTCCGTAGGGCAGATAAAAGTGAAATCGTAGGGATAAAAGAGCAATATCAGATATTTTCCCTTGTAATCTTTCAGGCATATTTCTTTCATTTTTAAGTCAATTATCGCGATGCCTGACCAGGCTGGTGCTGTAGTGGACAGCGCTGGTACCACGTGTACTTTTGGTTCATGCGGCTTTTGCGGTTGTTCGCCGCAACACAAGTCGCTCTGTTCTATTTTGCCTCTAAGAAACGGGTCGAAAGTCGTCATCATGCTACGTTATAGTGAAATTAATAGCCGTATGAAATCGATATTTCTTTCTATATAAACGCGAATATTGGCTAATATCGTTTCCATGAGCGAAAACAAAAGTTGGCAGATTTTCTCTATAAAAATGTCAATGTCACGGTAAACAAAGTTCGAAAGTTTCTTCCCTCCTTTTGAAAAACACGATGTTCCACAACAAAATCTAATCCTCACAGTATTTTTACTCTTCTTTATCGTCGTCAACAACCACATACGTTGGGTTGTTGCGACGTTAAAACTTATTAAAAGACAACGTTGCGAAGAGGAAACGAGCCATTTGTACAGTATATTTCTTTTTTCACATTCACAATTTGTCCAACTTGGACATTTGGTAGAATTTTTTATCTGTTTGATTATCATGTGGGTGGCTACCCCCGATGGAGTACCATATTCGTGTTTGTTAAGATATATCCTTTGTGAGATCTGCTGGGTGTTTCCTTTTTAGTCTTCTTTCTATGGCTTTTGTACAGTATATGACCTGTCGTTATTGATTTAGAATTTTCAAGGAATACGTTAAAGCCTGTTCCGAGCGCTAGATTTCCGTAGCAATAACATCTTTATACAATAACTTTGTAATATACGGAAGATATAGGGAAATAGAAAGATTGTAGAATTTTAGAGTTATGTCTTTCATAGTAGATTATTAATTACAAATTAATATTACGAGGGAAAAATATGATAAGGTTTCATGAAACAGATACGTTAGCAAATCAATCACGAATATTATCATATCTTTCCCGCGTCGACTTTGATTAATTTCTCTGATTAAAAATCATCATCATCATCTTTTTTTACTTCAGTAGTAATAACACCTACCTGTTTAATAAATTGTCCAGCAGTTAGAAAATCTGGCAAAGTAGAGAAACAGTGAAGTTAAGAGATTGAAAGGATCGCTGTAACAAACAATTTAAATAAACCAACAAAAATCAATTAGAGATCAAATAGCTTTTTCGAACGTGTTATAAATTCACAATCGAGCAACATTCTAATAATATCGCGATCATTTTGCAGTAAATACGATTTAAACATTGGAACCTCGTTCTTGTTATCGTAAACTCGTCGATCGTGCTTTGCCTAATTATAGTAATAAAAAAAAAATCATGTTTGATAAAAGATTCGATGGAACAAATTTTCGAAAGCGGATCATATTTTTGCCAGAATTTGTATCTTGGCGGATAAAGTGAGTCTCGCATGAGCATGCGTTGCATGTGCAGCAAAACGATGCGAATTTAACAAACGTTCCTGTCCCTTACCTTCCTTCGACCACAATTCTAAAATAAAACTAGGCTGTCGATGTGACTCGATGTAAGTAGTTAATAACGTGGCGTGTGTTACGTGTGTCGTGTTAAAAGCTCCGAAAGGTGGAAGCGGTTCCGAGTCTGGTACTTTAAGACGTAAGGAACGTAGTCGCAGCAAGTCGCCGTTCAGGAGTTTCCGCTGGAGAAAATCCGCCAAGTCGCCGAGTTTAGATCGAAGTGGCGTGAGTGACGATGAGCGCAGCATTTCCGGTAAGCAATTCTATTCAAACATCGTGCACACTGGAGTTTTTCTGCTACCGTTATGCCTACCCACCATTTTAATTACGATAATAGCTCGTTAATATCTCTTTAAGTTCGCTTGACAGTGATATGAATTTAATAAACGTTCGGTCACACCAAGTAAACTTAATGGAATTAACACTAGTTGATAATCGATCGAAATATATTAATAAATTAATTAACACTTTATTTAGGTAGTGATACGAGCCTCTGGAAGATGAACTTTCATATCGTCGAGCAACTATTAAACATTTTGCTATTCCAGCTTCATTGATGATCGCAGGAAGCGTTTCCTTAATTTCCTGAATTGCGTACGTGTGTCTGGAATACGTGTACGAGGGATGTTGAATGAAACATTAGGAATCTGGGCTATGGAAACGTTAATAATGTATGCATCCTTCTAATCATACGTGATCAGAATCAAGTTTACGATTGGTGCTGTACGGTGAATGCGTGTACATGTTTGGGTATCTCGATTGCATTCCGGCATTGTTTTATAACGTCTATCTGATTAACTGTTCAGGTCTTCCTACTTGAAATGGATTCCACCCAATGAATGTATAATTGTGTTTGCAGTTGTGTTACATGTTCGAAAGGAAACTGGATGTTGTAACGTAGATTACGTTCTTTTCTCTTTAACTCTTCGCATACTATTCGCCAAGTAGTATAGTTATTTTTATCTTCTGTCGTTTGTCAGTTTGACTTTAAATTAAATTCGATTTTACAGAACAACGAAGTCCCACCGATGATGAATTCGAGGGCGTGTTGCAACGAAAGCACGAATGGGAGAGCACAACGAAGAAGGCGTCTAATCGGTCCTGGCACAAAGTGTACATGGTCGTTCGTGGACAGAGCTTGTTTGTATATACCGACCAAAAGTCATACAAGGCAGCGCCTGATCAACCGTACAAGGGAGAGTCTCCTCTGGACCTTAGAGGAGCGACTATTACTGTGGCGAGCGATTACACTAAGAAGAAACATGTCTTCCGAGTAAAGTGAGTTCTGCTTGTAGTCCCAATATGGCAGAGAGTGGGAAGAGGAGCAATATTTGGTTGCTGTTTGGCTTCACGCTAAGAATTTATATCAACGATTAAGGAGATTTTACAAAAACTTTTGCCACAGGGTCTGCAACTTTGTGATTTAGTTTGACATAATTGCCAATATATTCATAGAAATTACATAATATGATGAATACGTATTTTGCTTGAAAAAGTTGAGAATCCTGCTCTCTTCTTCCTGTGATCATAAACGTACAATTTAATATAAATACGATAGAGAAGTATCGATTAAAATTTCATATCTTTTAGGTCACAAAGCGGATCAGACTTCCTATTCCAGGCTAAAGACGATGCTGAAATGAACGACTGGGTTACCGTGTTGAACCAAGCAGCACAGGGTACATCAGGTGCGGGTACGTCTAGGGCGCACACTCTACCCGCGCCTACACAAGCCGAGACCAAGCGGCGTAGTTTCTTCACTCTCAAGAAAAAGTGAGTCTCTCGTTAGAAGTATCTGAAAAAAAAATTCGGCAAAAAGGCGACCGGATGACCGCGTGGGAAGATACGTAACGCCAACATATCACGTAAAGTAAAAAAAAAAAGAGATAGAAAGAGATTGATGGAATTCGATAGGAAACGAAATATCATTAGCTAAACGCTTCGTTGTTCAAATCTGTTATTTTCGTTTCTTTAATCGTCGTTTCTTCTTAAATCGATTAAAAATTTTATAAAAACTTCTCGTTATTCATGTCATCTTCCGTGTCATCTGTTCTTCATGCTGATGATTGTCAAATCACTTTCTTTTACCTTTACGAGTCCATTACGAGTGCTGTGTCAATTTTTAACGCGAATCATTGTTAGTAAGCATCGTTAATTGCTCGTATTGGAGCATATTTACAGGGTGTGTATGTTTAACTATGGACTTTTTAATGTTTTTTCCTTTCTCTTGCATTAATCATTCAGTAATCTTCGTTTTTCGCTAGCTTCTCGTCATCTGTGCATTTCTGAGAGCTAAGTAAAACTCCGGTTAAAAGTTCCAGTTAAAAAGCGTGTTCCAAAATGTAGGTATTTTACAAATATTTTGCTTCGTTTTCAAAATATCATTGATCATCGTTATACGAGTGGCAAGGTGATCACCTCGGACCGATGAATTATTCACGATTGTTCTAAAGATTCGAGGTTTTCCCGTGTCATTACCATCTCACGGTATACGTTTAACGCTGGCAGACATTTTTCCATTTCATTCGATCACATTTTGCATTTATCATATTTTAGAAAAGCCAAAAAGTAGAAAGTGTGAAACCAATGAACTGTAAGAAAACAGTACACAATTGGAACAACATTTAGAGAGATTGCGGTGAGTCGCATAAATAATCATTAGATCATTTTTACCGTCGTACTACTGCACGATTTTCATTGATCATCGTTTACCAATTTTCTTTTCTCTATCCTTCTGTTACACCTTTTTTTTCTTTTTCTTTGGTTACATTTAATTAGCATATCTAAAAAAGTACAAGAGGAATGTTCTTCCAATTGTGAATGCGGAATGATATATATTATAATCGAAGTTCTCTACAAAAAGGAGAACCTGTACGTGCGGTGCTTAACTGTGTTTCATATGCGCGACCGTAAAAAGTTCCTTAGATAACGTTCAAGTCGCTAATTACAGTCATAACTCGTTATCCGTTATACATATATACTGTGCTCCATAATTATAAAACTACCCAAAGTTTTCAATTTTTGTACGGTATGTTCGCTAAAAATGGGGACTAACTATAGAACCAGCGTAGCAGAATATTTTACTATAAAGAATTGAAATTAAGGTGAAATAAAATGAAACTGTAACAATAATTTCTACAAGTTCTTCTTTTATAATTTTTATAACTTCTGTTTGCTTTTATATGCTTCTAATTAGATTTGGCGTTGTACCTATATAAAAATTGAGAATCTTAGGCTGGTCTTATAGTTATGAGATGCAGTATATATTCTTTCGAATGATAGCATTTATTAATTTTGAGAAAGATACGATAGCAATCTGAAGTGAAGTAAAAATTTGACATAAAAAGGGAGTGTTAATTTTTACTTTACTTTTTGCAAACACTATTGATTCTGTGAAAAATTCTACTCTCTATCTATAGAATCTAGCGAAGCTATGCATAATTGAGTGCTAGAAAGATTTGCCAAGTTACATGTTCCGGCATTAGTAAATTCTGAAGTTATTCTATTTGAAGGTTCTAGAATTTTATAATTGTATAAATTATATAATTTAGCAAAGTCGATAAATGTCATTTGGATATAAACGTGTATGGATTATAGAAGACCAAATGAGAAACTAGAACGCAAATTAAAAAATGAAAAATATCGTATTTCAGCAAAGGATAGTTTTAATTTCACAAAGTGTAACGTGAGCGGATCAACGAATTGCGATGGATGATTATCATCCCTAAGCGAGCAGCTGTACTTTAGCGACAAAACATTTCCAGACATGAAAACCGAATATATGAAATGTACGAGTCAAATTTTGTCTCATTCGGGAAAAAACAAGAGGAAGAGAATATGAAACACAATCATTTTAATCATGTCACCAAACAAAGCTCAGTTCACAGGCGCTTTTTATCAGCATTTTTCATTGCTTTTTCATGAAACATTTCTTTCGTTCGCTCTAGTATAATGTATTGTTATTATTATATATATGCGTAGACACACATGATTTATTGTATATCATTGTTGGATTATATTGCTGCCATCCTTTTGTCATTGCTTCGTTATGTCATCATACATATTATATCATTTGTTCACGCTTCTTTGCTGGTCGGAAAAAAAGAAAATACTTTCAGAGAAATCATCCTGGTTATCAGTAAGATATGACACTGTTGCCTTCTACTGTTGGAGGTAAATTTTGGCTGTACACGCGACTTACATAAACGCGTGCAGCTCCTAAATGATAGAGCTGATTCGTGCATATGTACTTTAATTGCCCAGATTTGTGTGTAGTATCCGTACTTGCTCATGTCAAACCTTGACAGATAGTGTTATAGCACTCATTTAGCAGCATTAAAAGATATTTTGAGACGTAGTATTATTATTCCCATATATACAGGGTGACCTGTTTCAACCTGTCCATTTTACTATTTAAAAATTATGTGTATTAGGCTAAATATTGAAATCAAATGCAATTATATTTCAAAGCAGATTTGAAGACTAAACATTCAAAAAAGTGGAAAGGTAAAAAACAGGCTGCGCTATATTTCCTTATGGATACTTGATACGCATTCTTGCTCAATATCGTGCGTATTAAATTTTAAAGAGGCTAGAGCGGTACGATCTTTAATTTTGTATATTTTAGTTTACCATCGAAAAAATATGTAATAATATTCTAAATGTTATTTAAGGAATATCTTTTTAGATGAAGTTCGCTAGTTTAAAAGGAAACTTAAATCTTGATATATATATTTTTTCTTTTTCATTTCAATTTATAGAAATCTTAAAAAGTTGTTTAAGAATTTGTTTTTATTGACAATTTTATGAACTATAGAAAGAGAGATAAGACTAATTTAGCTCTACGCCTCGTGGATAAGAAATTACCATTGTTTTCCAAAGAAACACTACGCACACATGCCTTCTACGTAATACGCGTTAACATTTTTTAATTTAATGTTTGCTTTGTTTGCCAATTTTCAGCTAAACTGGAGCAGTGAAGTTCGGTATAAGCCGCTCAGCACAACACACACAGTTTAAAAGAAATGTTTCGTCGCTCTACGTGGTTAACAAATAAATAAAAAGGCAGCGCTGATTGTAAGAATTAGGAGACATACACGCGGACATGGTGTTTGGAAAAAAAAAACGAGAAAGAAACAAAATCGAAGGAAGACTCGACTTGTTATAAGATCCGTGTCGATTTTACGAAAAATGCCTACCATCTTCGATAACTATTCATCACGAAGAAAAAAAAAAGAAACTAATAGAAAATATTTAAGCAGCTGTCTGTATGTATTTAAAACATTTCACGCGCGCGTAGGCCATTTGAAGTCTTTAATTGCGTTTTTTTTAGTTTCTTCAAGGAATTTTCGGACACTTTGCAATATATCGCTAGTTGAGAAAGTGACACACAAACACATACAAACATTCGATGTCCCACGTTAGCGTGATCGAGTTTACTTGAACATGGATATTAATTGTCAAAATTGATTGCCCATCTTTCTCGCATACTCGCATAGTGAACTACTGAGTACAAGTTTTAGATTTTGTAATTTAATACGTGGGCGTATCTTGCGTTTTGATATTATTTTACAATGTAGCCAAGGCGATCCTTCGTTTGTCTGTAATATTTAGTTGATACCATAGTTGATATCAGTTACTGCAAAAGTTCTGCATATTATAAGTCAGATAAGAATTCGATTATAAAGTTAATTCAGACTGTTCGGGATAAGCCAGTAGATCACATTTTCAAGCAATGACACGTAACGAATCGAATAACAGCAGTGAAACGTGATAAGCTCGATAAGTGATCTATTTTTTACAGTATGTATTTGCTAATATTGCTTCGAACAATTTTCTATGTTTCTACGAGTCGCGTAAATGCCATTTTTGAACAGACGTTCGCTGTTGAACTCGAGAAGCAATGCCTTATGAGATATAACTCTCGTTTAATTGAAAAGTATCTTCTAGCCCTTTTTATACTACATAGATAAAAATTTGTAGCAGCTTAGAGTGCTATAATGTTTCTATTTTAGAAGAAACTCTTATTAGAGCTTGTGCAGTAACTTGATACGCGTTGTTGCTCTCGTCTTAAGAAGGAAAGAAACGTTGTTCTTTAATTCATGATATCTGCCTTGTTTTATCAATTTAAGCAGCTCAATCGATGCACGTGTTCATTTGTAAGGTCTCTGTACACCGGTATATACACTTTCTCTCGCCCAGCACCTCTTTTTTTTTAATTTCGCGTTTCTCCGCAAACGATTCGTTTGCGTTTCGATGACTGCCATATATATATTTAAGCGGCACACTAACTTGGGACATAATACATATATAAATATATAAATAAATATATAAATATTATATATAAATATAAATATAAATTAGCTTTTAAAAAATTGTTAAATATATGCTACGCCCTAAGGGAATACGCATTGGAGGATTATAAAAAAAAAGAAATGGAACACACATTGTTTAATAATTTTAAGAGTTTCCTCTTATATACGATCCCAAAATATCACGATTCGACGAAATTAAGAATAGAACGAAGAGATAATATTTAATTGTTCTTTATACATGTTTCTGCGTGTGAGATGCAGTTTTTATCAAGCGAGCTTTTATCAACGAGAAGAATCGGGAATGGTATCGATTCCATTTGAAGCGTCCCGCTTGATATTAACTGATATCGTATTCACGTTGCGATTTACGCGATTGTTAACTTTCGTATTCTTTATTATTTTCCTTTTGTCTTATCTTTTGACATTTTTAAATATTTATCACGGTTGTTTTTTGTTTCATATAGAGTGTAAGAATGGTTTAAGGTCGAAACTTAAGAACCGCGTTTTTGACCATCTTTTTCAGTGACGATTATTTAAGAACTATTCATTTTTACTAAAAGCTCTCGCCCTCTTTTCTGTTCAGATGTTGTCCATTTACAATGCGACTCATTTCAATCGACGTCGACTTGTTCCATTTTTCTTGGAATGCACTTTTTCTTGACGTGGTAATAATCATATTTCTCTCGACGATACCTCTGAGTAGCACATGTTGGGAATACGTTTGTAAAACGTCTCATCTTTTTTACTATATATTGTACTGTGCGCTTCACTAATTTGTACATACGATCATGAGTAACGCAGTATACGCCTAGGCAAGAAGAACGAAACGCAGTAATTAACGATCTTAATCAAAAGAAGAAAGAAACATACAATGAAATCGATGACACTGTTCGCTTTTTTCTAGTTTAATGCATGTGCATTTAGTGGATATTTTTTAAACTATTTGGAGTCGCATTGCTACACTACACACAACTTAATATTTCATAGCTATGTGTTTTATATATAAATATAAATATATATATAAATATAAATACGAGATAACGAAGAACAGTAAATTATAAGAAATAAAAATGATTATAATAGAAAATATATAATAATTGTAAAACTATCTAATAATTATAGTTGTACGAAATCCTAAGAGTATTTCCATCCTCGTCCATGAATCCTGATAACATTTTTAGATTAGAGATTAATAAGATAAGAAGAAGGAAGGCAAGATTATAATTTTATAATACCATTTTATCTTAGACAGTATAAGCTTTAAATCTTTGTATCTTTGTTTGGGTCAATTTCAACTTTAAAAATTTGTTGTTTTTATAAGACAAATTTTTTATGAAGTACAAAGTTACAAAATTATTGGCACAGTTGAAAATATAACAGAAATTTTATTATTCGCTGTACATATATTTCGTATTCTATTTACGTATTTAGTAATTAGAAATGTAAAGAAACTTTTTTTTAATCATACGCTCTGCTTGAATAGATGTGCCGAGAGCAGAGGGAGACCTTGATGGTGTCGCCAGGAAATGATAGTCATTATCTAATGTAGTTTTATTATTACATACATTTGAGAGTCACCGATAAAAGTACTTACTTCCCCAATGATGACTTTCAATTTTATTACGAACCTTTTTTCCCATTGATAACTACGTTGACAATTATGCTCCAATTTATATTTGAATAATATTAATTTGTAGCCAGTAAACTTTACGAGTGTCTTAATTACGTTTTAATTGTTCGTAATTGTAATTATTTTGAATATAACTATTATATTTATTAATTTACACAAATTAGATGCATTGATAAAAATACTGTTGTTATTCAAAATAGTGCGTTAACAATATCTTCAATGATTTTTAAAAATAGTTACCAAACAATTTAAACTTAAGCGTGTTCCAAAACGCAATCAATAATCGTCACGAGGTATGGCTGCGTCTTCAATGCGCGACATCTTCCTTATTGCAGGTTTTATTTATTATACAGAAGATGAAATTGTACAAAATTTAAAAGAACTTGAAGATATTACTTTTTTTCTAATTTTTACCTTAATCTAATATTATGAATTCTTATCTTGCAAAAACTTTCGAGATCATTCTGTTTAAAGATAAATATACAAATGACGAAGCACGCATGCGCGTTAAGACGCATTATATTAGACATGCAGTTCTTCATCTTGATATACTCTACATAAATACACACATTGTCGTAATATATAATATATATATATATACGTATATATAAGGTGTTTCACGCAACGAGGTCAAACTACAACTCTGACCCCCTAGGAAATAGAAACATTTTTTTAGAGAGTATTATGATGCTTACGTCGAAAATTTATTAGCATAGAAAACATTTTAACTTTAATTCTGAAGTGCAGAACTGACTGTACGAATGACAAGGAAAGATGTGACGCAGTAACCTTATGTTTATTCTAATTTATTTCCTTCTCTTTCATATGATGAATTTCATGAAACTGAAACGAAATATTTTTTAAGATAATTATATTACACACGACCAATATAATACACTCTTTATACGGAATAAAACAAACTCATCGACTAAAATATACAAAACTTTAAGTTCCATTTTAAAAAATAGGGATAACCTTACAGTTTTCAAAACTACTCAACTTTCACAGTAGATGTGTAAATACTTACATCAGGTCGTGATTCACTCGAAACTACTTAATTTTACCTAATGAAACTTTTTTTCTACCCTCCATCATTTCAGAATTATAGTCTGGTCCAGTTGCTCGAGACACCCTGTATATCTAGTTATATATATTTGTACATGCCATGATTAAAGAAAGTCAGTCTGAGCAAGATGGCCGGCCGGACGACTTCGGTCTTCTATTATTCCGCATTTATTTTACATTTTATGTTGTTAACGAGTTTTAATAACGGACAGAGATTCGGTGAAAAAGCGAAAACCCTTCACATTACCGAGGACTATGAATCTTATGGTTATAGGCAGCCTCTTGTTATAAATCGGGATGATTATTCCGATGTCAGGGAAACGTCAGCTAGTCGAACGCGCAGGGATGTTCCGCTATTTCCAAATAACAATCCAAACATCACAACGAAGGTACGATATTATATTTTAATATTTTACCAACAATCTGTTTCTTTTGATCCAGTTTGCGCATCGGCAATGCCATCGATTTATTTCCCGCATAAGTTAGGTTGTTTTTGTTCTCTTATCATTCCTTGTGCATACTTGTTACTCGCCGATAAGGTGCGTTTTTAGAATTTTATGCGGCAGCTAATAAGGCCGGTATACATAGCGCTGCCTTTGTGCTTTCAACAGCGGAGAACGTAATTGCCGTATTATGTCCCTTCCGGACTAAATTTAATCAATCTTGACGAAACGGAGTAACGCGTCATGGTTGTTCTGTTATTGACACGCAGAGGTCAGTAACCGCTCTATCCGTCTCCTTTATTTTCTGCGATGGATTCTCATCTTTTTCCTCCATTTTTCATTTTTCTATTTCCTTTTTAGCGATCGACCGAAACCCATATTTCAAATAAAGCACTCCAGTGTTTGTTATCGAAAAACCACGGTTTTTTGTTCGTCTTGTATCGTGTCAGCTGAACGAACAATGCCTACTGACGAATTACTCCAATTGAAATCAATGACATGTTTCATATTTATCATATTGTGTGCTCATGAATTGGAAATAAGGTTGTCCGACGAAAAGAATACCTAGTAGCGTTCTATATTTAGCTAAATCGAAATCGTAGAAATCATTGTTATTACAACTGGCCGCAATTCTTTTTTCTTTGTTTGTAGTGGCTCGTCTTATCTTATTCGATAATTATTGAATTCGATAGAAGTGTACTTTGACTTCTTTACTCGAAACTATTTTTCGTACGGGTTTTACGTAAAACCTATTCGAAATGTTTTCACGAAATATACGGCGTGATAAATGAAATGAAATAGCGCAGTTTTATTTTCCCTCAAGGACAGACGTTTATATTAACAAATATGAAATGTTCTGATGATGCATAGTGTATAAGCAGCGTGTGTCAGCTACTCATAGGTAATACGTGTCATTCCAGCGAATGCAATTAAATCCAAAGTAAGATTACAGACTAAAGTATTTGAGTGGATGACAATAAAAGAATACATATGTATTATATTAGTCAGTTAAGTTGATAAACTATATTAACAAAGCTTACGGCATTAGTCACTCGTATTAGCTCGTAACTCGTATTATTTATCTTTTGCTACGAACTCCATCTAGGGATTCAATTACTTAACAGAATAACAATTATAATAAAACCCGAGGTTTTTAATCTGGAATTTTGTAATGAATTGAAAAAAGGAAAAGTAACATTCTTTTTATATTTATGTATGTTATAATACATAATTCATTATGTTAATTATTTATGTTAATTGAAATTATTTCAGAATGAAGTTAAATAAATATTTTGTCCGCAAGGAAATAATATTTTATGATAAGTAATATGTACAGAATAGATGTTAAATTAGTGAATAAATATTGCCAACGATTTTTCAGAAATTCCTTTCACTTTTTTTCACATGTGTAATGTAATCACACTGCAGAAATCCTTGAAGTTATTTAAGACCGGGGGAAGAGAAAAATAAAAAATTACTTCGTACATTTTAGAGCTTACGATGCGAGCTGACGATATCTCTGTGGTTTAAAATTTTATTGTGCAATTCGTCGTAATAAATTAACGATATTCACCGCTTGTCTATCACGTCATGCTAATATATTAGGTAATCCACAGTTCATTATTAGAATCGTTAGATCATAAAAATTTTCCTGTATGTATTTTCACAGTAAGGAGTACGCAAACATTTTCCATGAAGTGCAATAACTAATACATTTGACCTTCGTTCAATCTTCACTGAGTGCAAAACAAATTTTGTACTACATTTTTTTATATTTATACGAATCAATGTATGTATATAAACACGTTAGTGCAATGTTTTCCTCCATATCATACTTGTACTTTTCAGTTCATCCTTATCTTTATCTATGTTGTGACTGATGATATCTCTGATAACTTCACGTTTGGAATTAATGTTTCAACTTTTTCTTTTCCCCGCAGATCAATGCTTTAAATGATTCCCATCAACAGTTGATAGTTCACTGGGTAGGAGAAAGATCCAATGTGATAATATGCTTGGCAAGGGACAGTACACCAGTGATGAAATTGCAGAGCAGCGCAGCTCCAACACCTACTAATCCTAGTGCTGTGTATATAAGTTATAATTATGGCGACACGTTTGTCAATATAACTGAAAAATTTCGAATTGGAGATGATCAGTACGCTACCCTGGACAAGTTTACCAATCATCCAAAATATTACAGATTTGTAAGCTCATATTTCATTAGTATTATCTTCCAATTTTCATTTATAGCCGAAGAGCTCATAATTATTTTATTATTATTCTAGTTTATTCCATTTGCATTTCATTCATTTTATCGTTTTAACATGATTCAACGTTTTTTTCCAGTGTATCTTTGTGGACAGTACACACAAGTTACTTTTCATTACACCAGATAATGGAGAAATGATAAATAAGGTGCGAGTACGGTTTCATCCTAGTGAAATCTCGTTTTATGAAATGGACGTTGATATTGTCCTTGCTTTGGACAAAGTCAGTCCTGTGCCCAATGTAAGTTTTGATACTCTTCCATTAAAAGTAATTTTCAGTTTAGAAAAATGATTCCTATGCTTCTATTATATTGGTTTCAGCTATGGTTATCATCGAACACTGGTTTCACATGGATGATATTGCGTCCTTACGTGAAAGCATTCTTTTGGTCGCCTGCACCGGCTTTGATAATCGAACGCATGCATTCTGATGGAAGAAACACCGTTTACCAGATTGATTTGCAGAATAATTTGCTAAAAGACTCAGTGACTCGCTTAATCGGTCCGTCGACAGTGATTATCTCAGAAGTGGAAGATTTTCAAATTAGAGGAGACTATAGATTTGCTACTTCAAAGAAAATAAAGGCACGTAATAAATCAAGCTTATAAAATTTTATCCGGTATATATCTTGACCAGATATACATTGCGAATAAACAAAATTTTTGCTTCGCAGAACGGAACGGAACACCTGGATCTTTTCGTATCTTACAAGAACTTTAGCTTCGTCAAGGCCGAGTTTAATACGCCTTTGCCAATTAAGAATTATCATGTCGTCGATGTTTCACATAACAGAGTTTTTGTTACGGCTTCTCACGATGAAACGCATGTCAATCTTTATATATCAGAAATTATAGATGAGAAAATGGCTACGTTCATATTATCTCTCGAGGGAATTTTTACGTTTTTCCCGAACAGTACCTGGAAAGACAGTTGGTTAAAGTAATTATCTCAACTTATTTCAAGCAAACAATTAGAAGGATAAGGAACGAATGACCAATTCGTATGTAATTTTTTCCAGTGACGTAGCGGATGAAACATTTACCGATCTGTACAAAGTAGAAGGTCTCCGCGGCATTTATATAGCGTCGCAAGTAAAAGGAGCACCAACATCAGGATCTATTGGACTCGAGCATTTAGTTTCCGTGATAACATTCGATCATGGTGCGACATGGAACAGTATAAAACCACCTGCTGCCAATCACGAAGGTTTCTACATACACTGCGGTAAAAATTGTTCGTTGCAGTTGAGCCAACGTTTCAGTCAGCTATATCCCGTGACAAGATCGGTATCTATTATGAGTTCGAAGTCTGCTCCTGGTATTATAATGGCTACAGGAGTGATAGGGCCAAATCTCAAAGGTCACCCTGCTCTATATGTATCGAGAGATGCTGGGCTTACTTGGAAACAGGTCCTCAAGGACTACTACTTTTTTAACATGGGAGACCATGGTGGTCTGTTGGTAGCCGTTAAGTACTTCAAGTCACGCGGAGAAACCAGAGACATTTCTTACTCTATTGACGAAGGGGAGACCTGGCAGTCGTACGAATTCAATCAGAAAATGTTGCGCGTATACGGACTGATGACCGAACCAGGGGAAAATACTACAGTTTTCACGATGTTCGGTTCAGGTAGTGGCCAGCACCAGTGGCTAATAATCAAGGTTGATCTGAGGAACGTGTTCGAAAGAGATTGTACCAAGGATGATTTTAAATTCTGGTCGCCGACGAGTACGGATGAACCGGTGATGGCTTGCGTGTTAGGCCGGAAAGAGGTCTATCAAAGAAGAGCATTGAAAGCTAATTGTTACACGGGGATGGATTATGATCGACCAATAAAGACGGAAATATGTGGATGCGATATTAACGATTATCAATGCGACTTTGGCTTCGTACGAACTGGAATTCCTTATCACTGTATCAGAGATAAAACCATGACTCTCTATGACCCTTATGCTGTACCGAGTACCTGTGAACCTGGCGCATTTTATAATCGAACAAAGGGTTATGTAAAGATGGCCGATGATGAATGCATAGGTGGTTTAGCGCGAAATTTCGAGCCGGACGAGATTCCATGCCCTATAGAGGAAAAACCTGGATTCTTATTGGTAGCTCAACGTGAGCATATTTCGCGAATCAATTTATTAGACGAGAAATTGGTAACACTACCTATTCACGATTTAAAGAACGTTATAGCGATCGAGTTCGACATGAGGAACAATTGTCTGTACTGGGCGGATATTGTCAACGACACTGTGGGTAGACAATGTTTCCAAGATGGTGTAAGTTTTCCCGAAATTCTAGTAGAAACGGATTTAAGTTCCATAGAAGGAATGGCTCTCGATTGGGTCTCTAATCTCCTGTATATCGTTGATGGCGTTAAAATGAGGATTCAGGTGATCAGGACAGACATTTCTACCATGGGAAGAATGCGAAGGACCATCCTAGGACCCAATAACTTGCAGAAACCCAGAGGAATAGCTGTTCATCCAATGAATGGGTATATGTTTTGGACCGATTGGGCTCCGGGAAATGCTTCTGTATCGAGAGCCAATCTGGATGGAACGGATGTGAAGAGACTGTTTGTGGAACCAAACGTCGAATGGCCAAATGGAATAACTATCGATCACATAGCAGAACGGATCTACTGGGTGGACGCCAGGCAGGATTACATCGGATCTAGCGACTTCGATGGAAAGAAATTCAAGAAAGTGATCTCTAAAAGTGACAAAGTGTCACATCCATTTGCTATAGCAGTATTCAAGGACAACATGTATTGGGATGATTGGAAGCAATCTATGATATTCGTCGCAGATAAAGATCATGGTTTCGGCATCACTTCTATCATAGGTCAATTGCCTGGTCTGATGGATCTCAAAGTATTCGCGCACAGCATTCAGCAAGGCACCAACGCTTGCGTTAATAATACTTGTTCGCACATTTGTGTCGGAGCACCTCATGGTGGTTATGTCTGTCTTTGTCCTGATGGGATGGAAATGATCGATGGCAAGTGTATGTGTCCAGGAGGAATCACCCCGTTCGCCAATTCCACGTGTCCCAGGGTAGCCAGTACGTGTGCCCCAAATCAATTCGCTTGCGCTAATGACGTATGTATTCCATCATCGTGGCGGTGCGATCGGGACAATGATTGTGGAGACAATTCGGACGAGCTCGGTTGCACGTCACAACACACCACGTGTACGCCAAACTTTGAGTGTGATGACAACAGATGTATCTCGAAGCACTGGGTCTGCGACTTCGATCACGACTGTAAGGATGGTAAAGACGAAATGAATTGCAACTATCCACAATGTACGGAATCACAGTTCAGGTGCGCAAACGGTAGATGCATATCACACAGATGGCGCTGCGACAATGAGAACGATTGCCGAGACGGTTCCGATGAGAAGAACTGCAGCAAGAAGGTATTCCCCGGCACATGTAGATCCGACGAGTTCCTTTGCAAAAAGGATGGAGGTTGTATACCAGCTAGTTGGAAATGCGATGGTGAACCAGACTGTGAAAACGGAGAAGACGAGAATGAATGTAGCGAGATGGTCTGCGAACAGTGGCAGTTCACGTGCAATGTGTCGCATACTAAATACCGTTGCATATACAGTTCATGGCTTTGCGACGGGGACAAAGACTGCGCCGATGGGTCTGACGAGGTTAACTGTACCACTCAGCAACCACCGTCACTGGCACCAATTCTTCCTAGCAGCCCTTGCAATAATTGGATGTTTATGTGTAATAACAAGAAGTGCGTGCCATACTGGTGGAAATGTGACAGCGTAGACGACTGTGGAGACGACTCGGATGAAATGGGTTGTGGTAACGAGGATGTTGAGGAATGGACGGTGGTATATCCTACGGAACAGGCTAAGGTCTGTCGGGAACATCAGTTCCAGTGCTTAAATGGCGATTGTATACAAGATTCGTGGGTTTGCGATGGCTCCAGTGATTGTACTTCCGGTGAGGATGAACTGCACTGTGGCGACAGTGATCAGCCTTCCTGCAGAGAGGATCAATTCACGTGTCGTATGGACGGTTCATGTATTCCCATAAGGAGCGTTTGTAACGGCGTGGAGGAATGTCCAGATGGTAGTGACGAGTTAGGTTGCTCCGGAGAACAACACTCCAGCCCGGCAGCCACGCCATCTTGTTTCTTTGGTTTGTTCCCCTGCGACGAGATACGATGCTTCCCTCTGGCATCGTACTGCGATGGTAAACAAGATTGCGTGGATGGTTTCGACGAGAGCAATTGCGAGAAGAATAGTTCTCGTGTTTACCAGGTGCTTGTGATGGGAGTGGACGAGCGATCGGTCACTGCTACCAGCTTGTTCTTATATTGGTGGATGCCATTGCCCACCAACGTCAGCTTCGAGTTCCTACCTTCGATAGCGTACGCTGTACCTGGAGCGAATTGGACCAACGCTAGCCACTGGATCGAAGAAATGGAGTATCAATTTAACAATCTTAAACCATATACTCGTTACAACATGACAGTTCACGTTAGAATAAAGGGCCAAGCCACGTCATTCCCGCCAGCCAAATATTTAATCGCCACAACGGGTGAAGGTGTCCCGTCAGAACCTTGGAACGTCACCGTGACTCAAAAAAATGGAACCACTGTAGAGGTCACCTGGAAACCACCTCTGCATCCGAATGGACCTATTACCGGTTACGAAGGATTCGTAACGCCACCTATACCACCTGTACGATTCTTCAGGCAAAAGACTTCCGCTTTATTAGACATGCCATTCGAGGCAGGAAAGAATTATTCATTCTGGGTAATAGCAAAGAATAAGGAACGAGAGTCTGCCTCGTCTAACGTGGCAACTTTAATCTTTGATGGATCCACTAATATCGACAATATTGAGGATCTTAAAGTGGAGGCGGTCACCAATCACTCAGTGACTCTGTCATGGAAGAAGATGAAAGATGTTTCCTATGTCATTACTCCGAGAGGTCCGACGAAATACCCTGTACTACCGCCGACTATCAAGACGGAGAATCGCGTGGAGATACTGAAACTGGCTCCAGGAACTATGTATAGTTTTGAAGTCGGTGCCAAGAGGAAGAACTACGTTGGCAAGACAAAGACTGTTACTGCGACCACGGAGGGCACTCCTTTGCCGACTGTCACGAACCTGGTTGCGCAATTAGTGAAACCGCACGGAACGTCGGTAAAGCTTACTTGGGACCCGCCCAAAAGCACCAGGAAAATTAAGTGGCAGTATGGAATTCATTATGCAGTGAAAATGAAGGAATTTTTCCAAAGTAATAGCCTTGTAATGTAAATCGTAAACATGGAACGATCGGCAATTATTTGATTCATTAGTTGAAAATTAACTGTATTTTCAGAATATAGGTATTTAACGACAAACCTGTCAGCGACTATCAAAGAACTGGAAGCCTGTGAGTCTTACGTGTTTGCGGTGGGCGTGAACGGAGATTATGGCGCTGGGCCATTGAGTCAACCAGTCTCGGTATTCACACATTTCAATCAACGGGCTCCGCCAAAGAAACTAAAAGTTACTCCAACAGAGAGGCTCGATACCATAATTATTTCTTGGAGCGCAAGTTGTCCTAACATCGACGAGCCAATTAGATATACGGTGAATAAGAAATTTCAACGATATGAATTATTGCATTATATCTTTCCCTTGAACTGAAAGAATATTCTTGCTATATCGTAAAATTAATTTGGAGAAACTACCTAAGTATTCGTTTGTTTAAAAGTTACTACTTTTAAAATTACAGATCACCGTAACAGAATCGACGCTCAAAAAGCATTTCGTAGTGACTTTGCCAGCAACGAACGAATCTGTTATGAAGCATACATTCAACTCGATTAAACACGGCGGCAAGTATCAAATAACGATATCCACGGATGTCGAGAACGCTCTACCCAGTCAACCGGTTTTCTACACGGCACCAGACATTCCACCTCCTCATCAAGTGAAGGTTCTGTATGATGAGCAGCGCTTTGTTGTTTACTGGCAAGAACACGATTTACCAGATGCTATGAGAGACGAGAAGTATCATTACGAGGTTTTGGTGGTAGAAGGATCACACGTAATGAACGATTCGATCGCCAAGATATATAAAAGCGATCAGCCACCGTACATATACAAAGGTGTGAAACCGGATACCATTTACTCGTTTGCTATTCGTTTAGTCACTGAGGAAGGCTACCAGAGTCCTCTGAGCGAAGTGTTTAGCACCGTACATAGCGCGGGTAATTATCTGAATATAGTTATAGTCGTTGATTTCAATAACAAATTACCGTAAATTTTACTTTTATATACAAGCTTAAAAATTGTGATATTTACAATATGGGACACCTCACCGATTTCGCCGAGTGTCAAAATATGTTGCTGTATTCGGTTTGTAATATATTCATTTCATATCATTATCATATTTTAAATGACTTATTCGATATCGGCGAGGTGTCACTGTTATTATATAATTACCAAAAAATTATCTAACAAATATTGGTTTAATTAATTTAATTTTAAGCAATTTAATGTAATTAACAAGAAATTAATCTTTTTAGAAGTATCATCGTTACCAGTGACTATAGATACGGCTAACATTATTTCGTATGCGATAACAACATTTTTTCTGATCCTTGCTTTGGGAACTGCGTTGGCATACTTTATCATTAGACACAGAAGATTACCCAATAGTTTCACGCAATTTGCTAATAGCCACTACGACACTAGACGCGGGCAGGCCACCTTCCCCGGTACCACAGACGGCTTAGGTGAGTCTACAATCCATTTAACAGTATAATTTAATGCAGTATAATTTAAACTGTTGGTAATATTTATCTAAGAAAATGTAAAAAGATTTTCAAAATTTCCAATTTTTTGTAATTTCAGAAGAAGAAGACAGTCCCGTGATCCGAGGCTTCTCCGATGATGAGCCATTAGTAATAGCATAAGCTCGCGAAAAGTATCACACATAACAACATAACACGCTCACACTACGAAGTATAAACAGGTACATTACACCCTCTATATATATATAATATATAGAATATATATATATAGAATATATATATATATAGAATATATAATATATAGAATATATATTATATATATATATAGAATTCGTATTATATATATATACATATATATATATATATAAAATATAAGTATATATAATAATTACATATTAGGAGAAATGTGCCAACACACTATTGATACGAAAAAGTTCGAGATAAGAGACGACCTGGTCATAAAAGTAGAAAGCTTTTATGAAAGTGGCTCAAGACTGACATACACACACATATACACACACATGTACACAATCTATACTCGTGGAAAGTAAACCAAGATTGATCGAGAGCTCTTCGGAACACTTACATGAAAGGTTTGTGACTATAACGTGAGAAAAAAATATCACACGACCCTCTGTTTGTAGAGTACTATTATACGTGTACATGTTATATACATAGATTTGATTAAGTATACGGATGATTAAGTTTACGTCATACCGGTGGGCCGTAAGATAAAGATGGGAACTGTTGTTTGTTTAATATCTATATAAAGGTAAGACAAAAAGATGTGAGAGTAAGAAATGACGAGAAAGAGGTAGAAAAAAATGAAAGAGAATTTGTATATATCGGAAATATTTTGTACCAACTGCCCAACAATTTTAAGCTTTTTCGAAAGATGCCATATATGACGTTTACTATTGGATTTGTACTATATGTATAATGAGAGAAAATCGTTTCATGATTTGATCAATGCTTTTATTATATGATTTGCGTTACTTTTTCTTATTTTCTATGACATAACATCGTGTAAGGCTCGTTTTCTAAAACGCGGAGTTCCAGTCTCTCAATCAACGCAAAATATTTTGTCCCATTATACAGCAATTAATGTCAGAAAATTAGAGGCTACTTTTATAACGAAATCATACAGCAACTATGTAACAAAATCAGAGGCTACTTTCGCATTTGAAATACTCGTTATTAGCTCCGCTGTTTTGTAATAAATCCTTTTTCTTCTCTTTGTATACACACGACGTTAACACGAATGAGCTTGTTCATAGTGATGATTAATACGATATGATCGTATACGTTTACAAAACAGTCAGGACAAAAGCTTGTGACGATGGTGAAAGTTCCGTTAGCGATAGAAAAGACAAAAAATAGAAAGACGAAAAGAATAAGAATAAAAATGGTTGTGTCTTCGCATTAAACAAATTTGTGATTGAGAAGCATTTTTACTTTTAAACAATTGTGACTTTAATGTAACTCGTATACTCTATTTGGTCGCTATAGTTCGATGAAAAGAAAGAAAAAGAAGTAAAGAGAAGCCAGTTTGGATCGTTACAAGGCAGGCAGGGTTATAGATGGCACTATTAGATGCATGTGAAACTCGAAATATGTGCTGCTTATTTTTAACTATTTTTTTTAGAGGAGATGTTATGTAAACGGAAGTCATGGTAGCACGATTATGAAATTACCTGTGCTATCATAGATTTGTAAATAACGAATACTTGTTACTCGATCAGCTAAAAAGAGAGAAAAAGAGAGAGAGAGAGAGCGAGAGAGCGTGCGCACGAGAGAGAGAGAGAGAGAGAGAGAGAGAGAGAGAGAGAGAGAGAGAGAGAGAGAGAGAGAGAGAGAGAGAGAGAGAGAGAGAGAGAGAGAGAGAGAGAGAGAGAGAGAGAGAGAGAGAGAGAGAGAGAGAGAGAGAGAGAGAGAGAGAGAGAGAGAGAGAGAGAGAGAGAGAGAGAGAGAGAGAGAGAGAGAGAGAGAGAGAGAGAGAGAGAGAGAGAGAGAGAGAGAGAGAGAGAGAGAGAGAGAGAGAGAGAGAGAGAGAGAGAGAGAGAGAGAGAGAGAGAGAGAGAGAGAGAGAGAGAGAGAGAGAGAGAGAGAGAGAGAGAGAGAGAGAGAGAGAGAGAGAGAGAGAGAGAGAGAGAGAGAAGAGAAGAGAGAAAATACGTATCTTAAAAACATGTTCGGCTTTTTTACGCGATGAAGCCGAAGGTTTAGTATAAGCACGCAAGCTTGTCATTTTTTAAATTTTCGAGGTTGTCTTAAGTAAATTTCATATTTTATTCCAATGATATGAATCTGTGAACACTGTATAATTTTTCAAAAGTGAGATTAAGATCGACTTTTGTCTGGTGCACAGAGTGTTGGAAGAAGGTAGTTTAGAAATTAAGAAATCAGTAGTGAACAGGATTATTAAATCGATAATTTCATCGTTATATTTTTTAACAAGTAGTAATCTTATTTTTATGAAGCATGATATCATTAATAATATTATAGTGTTGTTAATATTATAGTATCGATAACAATATTAATATGAAATTTAACATTAATTTAATATTTTTCAATCTTATTAGTACTATGAAGATTTAATAGATTTAACATTACCTCTTTTCACATCCTGTGCAGAATTCTTTTTACGAAATTCTCTCGGATCATTTTACAAGAAGACTTTGCATTGAATCTTTTCTCAAACGATTCTTTGATGATTTAATGCTCAACAGAGACAAGACGCGAAACACGTGGGTAAGCTGCTACTCGTCATCACTTAGGTCCATATGAACAAGAAGTGTTCTAGCAATACTATCGAGATCTATTCTATCTATTGTAAACACACAAAAATCAAGGTTTGTGTTAATCGAGGTCCGTTTACATTAATCTCAAGTGCACTGTTCTGAAAATTTTCGTAATCGTAACACGACAATATTTTATATTCTAAACTCGCTATTGTTAGCCTTTATCGAGTTTGCGAAATGATTTTACAGCCATGGCCTTTTCGAATACGTGTCATTTTTGAAAGAGATATTCTCCATGTTTTTTATATTATCCGTCTTGGCTATGATATTCGTTCGATGATCGATTAAGCATTTCTAAGCAACAATAAAAGACGATTAAATAAAAAGACAAAAAAAAGGATATATCACTGTGTAAAACGACGAAAGATTGCCGGATCGAGTGCTTCGAGATTAAAAAAAGAAAAAGGATTCCAGCAAATTTTGTTCTCGTTCGTTTGCTGCGACAACATACGTGACGCGAAACAAAAGAGTGGAGAGCGAAACATTTCGCGAGAGCGAGGATGTCGAAAGAAACGTAGGTTGTACGTGTAAATCTCAAGGGTTATATAGGAATATAACAGTGATATATACATAATATATAAATATCTATCCGTATACATATAATATATTTGCGTGTAAATAAATGAATTTAAGGCATACGATTATCATAATCTTTATTAATTTTATACCATTATTCCTTTCCATCCAAAATAAACAAAGGATGATATTAAATTCTAAAAGACGTGAAATTTTCATGTTCTCAGTTCATTTCATTTCTTTTTTATCTCCAATAGAACGGACAATTTAAAATACACTGACGGAGAAAAGAAATTATTAAAAAATTGCTATTCGTATTCGAATATTAAGAACTCTTTTACTGTATACATTTCTTACTATGTTTTCAACGATCATCGCTAACAATAATTAAAATCGTTCTGCGTCTTAATATCTCAACTAAATTAATATCTATCAATAGGGAAACGAAGAAATAATTTTCGATACAGACATTTCTATCCGAGAACTGGTTCTCGGGTAATTTGTAAAACGAGGTTGTCGTCGCTCTACTTTTTTTGGCAATGCGACGAAGTGGTAACGTTTCCGCCGATTGTCAAACTCTCCGGCCAAACTTCCGTTCTCCATTTCAGCCGGAAACGATGAAATTACCAAAATCAGTAAAGAAACTACAATACATGTTTCTTCAATTAACGAAACGTCAGTTTCAGTGTACTATTTCGTGTACAAAAGAAATTACAAGAAGAACCTAATTACTTACCCGTGTGTCAAGAATGACATTCTAAGAAGGATACAATACATACAAGTATCTACTCGATTAATTTTTACTACTCTGAACCCACCATACGATGTTTATCCTGGAATTATCTAATTTTGATTAAACTACAAGTCATTAAAATACAAATCGTATTTCATAATACCAATCTTATCGCGTGATCATTCGCTTCTGACATTATTAATAGAACGTCTATCTAGAGTTATTATTTAAAAAAAGTTGGAAAATCCGATAGAGGTGATATAAGAGCCCGCATTAAACACTGCTTCGATTTATCCAAAGAGCAATTTCATCTTCGATCAGCTTCGAACTTTCACGAAACTCGTATACACGTGCGATTTCAAAGATAAAATAAAAGCAAATATAAATCGGCGCTAGGAGATGTTTCTCCTCGTCCCATCCTCCCAGACACAGCAACTATTAGGTCGTCCGAAAAGTTTCTTTCGTTTTATAAGGAAGTAATGGATGCACAACATTTTCCGTTTCATATTATTTTATCGAATTGCGTTTTATCGAATATCGATCCATTTCGTTCTATCAAACTAAAGATCACAACGTCCCACAGATTAGGTTTCATGTTCGTAATAAAGATGCATCGTTGTAAAACACGTGTCTGTGAAAGAAAGACACGTCTCGGGCAATCTAATAAATCCAGAAATTGGATTTAACTGAATGAAATATAGATCCGAGTGGTTTATCTCCGTTTAAAAGCGTAGCTCGCGCTTTTGTTCGACGTATGGAGGAGTTTCGAAAATTCAACATCGCCATCGCGTTCGATGCGTCGTTACGCTGCGGGACGCCTGTGAACATGGCAGAAATCTGGGCTACGCACGTGCAAATGTACCGTAATAATAATTGTTTCCTTAATTACAGCCACGGCGTATGATTATGCGTACGGTTCGTTCGTCGCGTTCTTTTTTCACGAAGATCGCGCCGCTCCTAGAAAAATTGGTTCCTTCGCAACCGTTTCGGCGACGTACGAATGCGAGCAATGATTCATCGAGATCAGCTAACGCGTCTCTTTGAAATTGCGCGTGAAAGTACGACGGGTTTGCAGCGATGAGATCATCGAGAGGTGAAGCATGGAATCGCGTGGGTGACCATGTGGTTCGCGTTAAAATTCCCAATCTTTTCGTAGTATTTTCTCGTCGATAAACGAATCGAAGTGACGTTGCAAGCGATTCGAGGGATTATGCGTCGGGAAATATGCGACCAAGCGTTGATTAGCATAGGACGATAATCGAAGCGAAAATGTTTATGGATTTATAGGTTTTATGGTGCGAGAATACAGAGAACGCGTATAATATGGAAAAATAAGCAAAGCATCGAAACGAAAGCGATCAACTTGTGACGATATTCAAGAAATGAAATCGATCTTTATCTAAGTTCTATTCTGTTAGCCACGAAATTAATGGAAATATAAATTTACACGAAGATTCGTAGTCTAGTGATTATAATTGGCAGCGTGAATGTGTCAAGTGTGTGCAGGTTTCTTAATTTTTAATTGGACAGTATTAGTTGTAATAAGATGTAGAGATGTTATATTCATGGGAAGCTGTTTCATTTGAAATTCCATTTAATTTCAACTTAGTTAACATCTTCTTTAATTAATAAATAACACCTCCGACTCGTAGTTGGTCATTTGCAAAGTGTAATTGCCACTTGATAAAATAATTACGTGCCCGTCACGCCTTATACAGGCAAGATAATAGCGATCAACGAACAATTTAAGTACACAATATCTATATTCATGACGTACGAGCAAATCGTTGTGTAACTCGTGTAAGATTTGTTTCAAGAATTATTTGAACCGTCGGTGTTAAATTGAAGCAAAGTAACAGTAACGTGCCGGTGATATTAAAACGGCATGAACAATTTCGAGGCAGTGAAAAAATTGTGCGTTGTAGATAGAAGATTCATAGTGCTCTTGAATTACACACACACACGCACACATATATATATGTAATTTACAAGTTACATTATAATATCCGGCCATATAATATAATTAATAATTTCCAATCGTTCGGTATCGTTGCATGTGCATCAATCGTTAAACAAAAACAAAAAAGAAATATTAAATCAAAATTCAGATGGAAATGAGTTGGGATACACGTTTGACGCGGTTGGAAGATTTTTAACGATAAAACGTAAATTATGAGCAGAACGCTGAGATACTACTGTTGCGCTGACATCGTTCCCTATCCTGGTATTGAAATCACTCTGAACTCTGAACCATGCGTTCCCTGATATGCCTAACGCTATATGCTATGCTATAAAAATGGATCGAGCGCTTTACGTCAGTTCTTTTCCTTTCCTTCTTCTTCTTCTTCTTCTTCTTTCTTCTATTCTCATAACAAAAAAAAAAGAAAGTCTTCCAAAATTGCGATCTTGTGGCGAAAAAATATGCATAGAAACATCGATAGCGATTATTAAAAGACTAACCGATTATTTTATTAAACCGATCGACTTTAGCCATCACAATCTTCATAGACATCTGCGCTAATTGGTATTCGAGTTACGATTGTATTGTAATCGCGTCTAGCTATTATAATTTTATTTGTTTTTACAATTCTTCTGGTTCGCGAGTTCTCTGTAGAATGTTCATTATCTTCTTTTACATTCTATTGCCGTCGTTTATCGACTTGTTTCTCTGTCATTTCTACCCGTACTCTGTATCCGTTTTACTTTTAAAATTCCGCCTAGATGATCCGACAGTTTTTCCCCCAGTTTTCTTACGTCCGTATTCTAGTTGATTATTATTTCGTTGCAATTTCATTTATTATACTTATTATCTATCGATAACGAGCATCGAGAAGATTGCAAATGATTGTAGACGGGCTCATTAACGCTGCAACTAGACGCTTGGAATCCTATCGAGAAAATGGAACGAGTTTCAGTTGTAAAACGATCGACCAGGAGCCATGAATTTAATTGCTGAGCAAATAGCTGCGCACTGGAGAACAATGGGCCGTTCGATGCGAACAGTTACGGGAAATTAGCCCGTTAACATAGCGCATTAACATGTTACAACGTTAAAGTGTTAGCGCTTACAGCGAACGACAGACACCTTGCGCTTCGCTCGAGTTTCCCGGTTTCGATACAAATCGTTTCACAGCTTTCCTTAATTGAACGCGCGGCTGCGAATTAAAGCGAAACGTTAACAGGTCGGAAGTTGTCTTTCCTGACAGCGAAGGAGAGAGAAAGGAAGAAAGTATCGTCGAATTTTAAGCATCTTTTCGTGCCTCGCGTTATGATACAGCGAGTATCTCGATTTTATCGTTGCTTGTGTCAGGATGGAGAACAGGAAGCGATCTTCAACGCGGCTACAGGAACAAAGTTGTACATTTAAATGAAATAATAAGAAACGGCAGGTCGAAATCGAAGTTGGTAAAAACGTTGAATTTTTTCTTTCGATATTTAAAAGAGGCGACAAAGAAGATTCTCTTTGCCCGGATTAATCCGAGCCGAGAAAAGATCCGAATTTGTATCTAAGAAATATTCCAACCGATACTAAATCAACGATGTTTAAGAATGTTTAAGATGGAAATACAGGATGGTGGTCGCTGGTAACGTTCAGCGGTGCGCGCGGTTTTAAACGAGCAAAACACTAATACAGAAAAGACGAATAAAACGACAGATAATATTCCTAAAGTCGTCGGGAATAAAATACACAGATCTTAAAATATATTTTTCCATTAGCCTTTTATCCCTCTATACTTTGCCGATCGAGTTTTTCGATCTCCGCTAAACTGCCGATGTCGCTCATCGGAGGCTCCTAAAGCCAAGAGATCAGCTTCCCGGTGAACAGAAACAGCCTTTCCTATGGAACGACCATTGGGTCACAACGAACAATAGGTGGAAAAAAATTGATCGATCGAGAAAGCAGGAACGCGAATACGTTGGAATAGCAGTGAGCGTGCAATTGCACGGCGATTCTGAATATCGACACGAATCTCCGCTTTCGAGGCAGCGGTATTAGCCGCGTGAATGGTGTTACCGGTTAAACGGGAGAATCGTGGGAACGAGAGGCGAATGAAACAGACCTAGAAAGAGGAGGAGGAGGAGCAGCAGCAGCAGCGGGAGAAGGAGCAGCAGGACGAAGAAAGGGAAAAAGGAAAGAGGAAAAAGACGAAGAGGACGTGCAGCAAGGTGAAAGAAATACGGTCGGTAGGGAGAAGGTCTTCTCCGCCGTAAGCAACGAGGATATCGCGATCGTGAATAGCAAGGACACGAACAGCGTTCGCGAGTAGCTTCCCAGTGAAAGAAGGGATATCCGAGTCCCCACTATTAAATGGCTCGACTCTGACGCGGTAAGGAGAAGCTACATCGGGGGCGGTAGAATACCACCAGCCTCAGTGCAATTTCGACACTCGTCTCGCAGTCACTTGTCACAAAAGGGCGATCGTTTTACGATCTTGTCCGACTCTTGCTCCGATTTTACGATCTTCGAAACGTGAGAGAAAGGTATGCACCACCAAAGGATGGTGATAGAGGGCGAAGGCGTTTGATGGACGCGCGAAGAACCGCGGCACGCCGTTCGAGTTGCCGAAGAAACAGATAAAAGATGCGCCGGATCGTTTAAAGAGAAATTGTAGGATTTCGTTGTGGAAGAGAAGCGCGTTTTCTTTCGCGAAGAATCTACGTTTCCGGATGAAATTGTCGGAGAGACCGGATCGAAGGACGAACGAAGATAGAACTGTTTAGAGAGAAACTCCGAGGCTACGCTTTTGGCGAGCAACTGGAACGCGTGGAAGAAGTTGGAAGGAAGAGTTTGTTTAGAGAGAAATTGAATCGTATCTCGCGAACGACTACGGCTATTTGGCGAGGTACCCAAGAATATCGTAAATGAAGGAACAGTCTAGATAAGAACAGAGAGATTTTTCTCCAGAGGGTTAAATTTCCGCGACACTCCGTGCTGGAACACGGCTGTGCCAAAAGAAAGACAAAACGTTGGAAAATGTGGTCGGAGAACATCGGAGAGCGATTCTCGTCAAGGACAAAAGGGTAAAGTTGCACAACAGGATATTACGAAAGAATTTTTGCATGAAATTTGAAGGGAATAGGATAGAGGCGTATTACGGTGGGAAAAGAAGGAATTAGAAGATGTAAACATTGGTACGATCGTGATCGTTTGACAAATTGGACAGCACCGCGGAGATCGGTAGCCTAACGCAATTGCCTTAAGCACAGGTTCTGGCGTACCGATAAAAGATAATTAGCCTGGCGATAAAAAATTGAAAGGAGTAAGTTGACTTGCAAAAACATCGATAGGAAGAGAAAGTAACTAAAGAACGGCATCTCTAACAAGCTGATTGCTATGAATCTCGACAGATTTCAATTACAAATAAAAGAACCGTTTTGTGTAAGAAACTATTACGATCGAGCGTCGTTATTTTTATTTTGACCATCGACCAAGCTGGCAGAAGCGCCGTATAAAGCGATAAAAATAGAAAGGAATTGTAAACGAAGACTCGTAAAAGTCGGGATTCCATTAGCGCGAAAGGAACAAAGGATTTGACAGCGAAATAGAAACGAACTGCTTGAGTTTGCATTTTCGTGGAAAAGATCGAGAAGCAGCGGACGGTGAAGGAAGTGACCTGGTCAGAGGATTCTTCTTCAACGACGAACTTCCACAAATTGAACGTTTCCTGTGATTTTACTGGAGCACGAACGACCGTGTCCACGAACATGCAAGACCTCTTTGATGGCACGCAATGACACAAAACGCGTATTTATTTCTTCGTCGATTAGCGTGTCTACCTAGAAACGCGTCGTGCCGGAAGCCCATTGCAGAATCATCAACGTCTCTTCGATTCGAACATATCTCGGTCACAGAATCAATCTGTCATACATAATTGAACGAAACAAGGAGCATATTGCCGCTTTTTCGATATTCCTTCGATTTCTTTCCTTTGACACGATTCCGAGATCATTTACCGACGATGATAACAGGAAAGACGATCTCTTCGGTTCGAATAGAACGTGACGAAGGATCGAGGATTTAGCAGACACGTGACACGTACGCTGGAAAATGATCAAAGAGGAAGGACACTGTATTTCTGCGATGTTTCTCTGCTTTCATGCATCTGCAGCATTCTAAGGTCGTGATACTTTTCCAGGGAAATTATTAGAAAATCTGATCTTTTCAGATCGAACAGACGCGTTCGAATGATCGACGATCTGTCGCGAACTATCCAACGACTCGTTACGAAGAGAAAAAGAATGTCACGGTTCTAAGATCGCATCTTCGGGGAAATAATCGATAAATATAACCCCTCGATCGGAAACAGAACACGATCGAAGGATCAGCGATCCATCATACGCGATCGACCGAGAGGCGAAAGGAAAGAGAAGAAACACGCTACTACCTTCGTAACCGTTTCCTTGATTTCTTGCATCCAACACGACTTCAAGATCGCTCCGCGACAAAAATAATTAAAAAACATAATTCCACGCAACTTTCCTATGCGTTAGCCCTGGAGCAGCAACGATCGGATCGATAAGAGCAGATCGTATAGTCGTGGATGGCGAGAGACTCGAAAGGACAACCGCCGGAAGCGAAGAGGAAAAACGACGAATGGTCGGAGAAGAGTAAAAACGACACCGGCGGAGTCGTTCGAATCAGAGAAAGCAGCAAGAAACGATTCGAAGCGCAAAAAGGGATGAAACGTTTCGGGGCTTATGAGGCGTGAAACCAAGATCGCGAATCTCTTCAGCGAGTGGTTGGTTTACGGACGAGTGGACGAGTACATAGGGAGGAGACTCGTACGTTACGAGGCGAGGATGATCGTCGAGCAAGTCGACAAGTTGGGAACGAAGCGAGTGTTATAGTTGGACAGGCGAAGAAGAAACAGCAACTGCGAGTTGAAGCTTCAATTATCATTATTCTCTTTGTCTCGAAGAGCGTATTTGAATGGCAACGATGAGAAATTTATAGAACATTCCAAAGAATTGAAGATTTCGTTCTTTGGAAAGGAGAGACTGTTCTTCCTGGAAAGAAGAAAACAGGAGAAGAGATAATTAGCTGCGGGGAAACCATACGAGTCTGACACGGTATTCGCATCTCCAAGAAGAAACTCTGACAGGTGAGTAACGAAAATTGGATATTATTCGTCTGTAAAAAAATAATCAAACTCCGATGCTTCTCCGTTTACTCTTTTTACTCGATAGAACGATTGATTCAATAAGATAAACGTTATTAGTCGTACGAGATCTTTAAACGAAATATAAATCGGGATAGCAACTGAAATACAAAGTTTTAAACGTTTTTCACAACACGATAATATTCAGCGATAAATTTAATTAACAAAATGACGGTTCCTAATCGCGTGAGATAGCAATTTCGCAATGAAGCTACAGAGAAATAGGTATATCAAGTATTTTTATAAAATATAGCGAATATTAGGTGAAAATTATTTGTCCTACATGACGAGGATTCAAAAATGTGTAATCGGGATAACGACACGAGTGGGAAGAAACGTGGTGCGTTTTTCCAAACGTGTTCCCGTTTCACTGAATTCTAATCAAATCTGTTAGACACGACGAAAGGGGAGAGAAAACATCGGCATACCAGAGCACTCGTGATTTGCACGCGTTATCCGGCGCACAGCACGAATCAACCTCTGAAATACGCGTTCACGCCGGCTACTAGACTCTACGACTAAAAGAGCAACGTCGATATCGTAGATTCTATAGCGTAGAATGTAGGTAGACAAGCCACCTAGTTTTATTGGATGCAAAACGATAAATTATCCAGTAGAAAGTCTGTGACGTGCAGTAAGCTGTGAATACGTCTTATCTCTCGATAGAAAAGGAAAGCCAGTAATCTGCATACAAATCGAAACCCTAGACGAATCTGAAGGCATTGAATTTTCTTACCGGGTATAACGTTGACATTTTAATTTGACTTTTCATTCGATTCGGTAATTCTCATCTGGCTGGTTGAGAATCATAGCGATGTAGCTCAGTTTTAGAAAATACCTTGTTATCGCGAATTATCCACCTTATGTATTGTCAGGATGAAAATTATTTTCATAGAATACAAATTTTATTCCATAACACGTGCAAATATAACGTACTTATCGAGTAGTTTCACTAGTTTTTTTTTTCTTTTTGATTTTTTGAAAATCTTTTCGTTGATTCTCAATCTAAAAGGGAAATACGCGGCAAAAGTTCAGATCGTATCGATCGTCAAAGACGCTACCAACTTTTCGCCAACGATTCCATATTATTACGAAATGTTCGTTATATTTTTTCATATCGTGAAAAAGCATCGTAGCAAAGAATGAAATTATAATTTAATTATTTACGAAATCAAAGGGACGATACCTTTAAAATATATAACTAAATTCGAATTCTCAAATGTTTGGCTCGTATCGCTGTGATTTTCAGCTCGCTACCATAGCGTTTGATAATTTTCATATTTTTCTTACACTTTCCCTGGATATACAAATAGAATCGATTATACAGCAAGAATGATAGACTTGATTTCACGGTGGATCAATGAATTCGATTGTTTCACGCGTGATTTGAGCGAACGATCCAACACAAATCGTTCACCTTGACCGTGAATCGATGTTCCGTTTCAGGAACGGAAGTGCCGCGATCGACGCCAGTCAGAAAGTTGTCGTTCGCGTAAATCGAATCGATACCGTGTCGAGACTGCCGATTCCATCGGGATAAAACGAAACGAAGCGAACCAGCGTGTTCCTCTGGAGCGAATAGAGGAGGAATCGAGAGGGTACGCGAGGAATAGTCACGACTCCAAAGTAGGTGAGTATCCTGGAACTTATTTAAGAAGCAAAGATTCTATAAACGGTTTGCGAAAGCTGGAAAAATAAATTCTTGCAAGTTAAAGTCATAATATCGAGAATAAAAGATACCAATACGTTGGAGAAATTAAGAATTCAAATCAGTAAGTTGCACAGTTCAAAGTTGGAGTTTCTCGAATTTTGGGAAATTTCAAGCTGAAAATTTTGATGTTGGTTAAATTAATAACTGCAGTTTCGTAGAAACTAGAAAAATTAAAAGCTGGAATTTTTTTCAAATCGAACCAATTAACAGCTGGAATTTGTTATAATTGGAGAAATTCAAAAATGTGGTATCTAAAAGTTGGAATTTAAGAACATTGAAATTATTCACTTGAGACTTTTCAAAATTACGATTCAATTAGAATGTTCTCTCTCTCTCTGTCTCTCTCGATGGAAATAATATTTAATAATACACAGTAGACGATGTTCAAAGAGATCTTGAAAATTGGATCAATGAATCAGTGGATTAGTAGAGTTATGGGTTGGCGATATTTTATGAATGATATATTAAGGTTTTTTTCAAGATGAAATATGAAATATGAAATAACGTAATACCGTATTGAATAAAGTAAACAGTAAATACTTAATGACCGACAATCTTTCAAACGTAATTTACGAATTCTACAAAGTCACGATCGATGCAATCAAGCTTGCAGTTGATTTTATCGCGTGTAGAGTACAATGCTCGCGGCGAGTCAGAATGTAGGTGGCCATTATGACGATGGTAATCAGAATTTCATGCAGGAAATCGTCGGTGAATGATGGCATGGTATTGCCGTTGTTTACAAACATTTTTTATTTTTTTTTTTACACGCGATGTAATTAACGACGGTATAATTAACGCGCACTTTCGCGAGAAGCAAAACGCTTCCTTCCGATCGAACGATTTATTCTTTCGATCAATGCCACTCGCCTAACGCCATTTAACGCTTCTTTCGGACATTGACTAGCCGACAAAGAGTATTCTTTTTAATTGCTATACTTTTCCTAATGATACTACCTGATATTTATTAATTAATTAAAGTTATCGAAGTAGTCGGTATTTTAGATATTTCGGTTTCTAGATACTTGAGTATTTTTTATTATTTTAATATTCTTTTTACAGACATCTGACGATCTACGAATGATCGTAAACGATGATAAAAAAGATTCATTATAGATAATAGAAATTTATATATCGCTACAGAATATTTCTTTGCGAAATCGATACAACTGGTATTTATTCGAACAAAAATATACGCGATTGATGTTTGCCAATTACTTCCATCATCCTTTATAATTAACTTTTGTAATTCATTTTTATACTGCTCTTACTGCTATACTTTAATGCTCGTCTATTTTATATCAAGTTTGTATAATAACTTAAATTCACTCTCGTCGAATATATTCTTAAAAGAGATTCTTCCTCTTACTTGCGATACATTTTATACGAACAGCATGTGGGAATACCAGTTGTTGAAAACGAGTTGGCACACGTTATCCCCAGGTTTCACGTGTTCGTCAATTATCACGTACGCGACGGCAGCAATTAGTACCGTTTCAAGAAGCCAGAGTTACTTTTTCCTTCTTCGGCTGTTGTTTCTGATTTCCTCGAAACTTTCGTTCTCTTCACGATCGATAACCTTCTTGCCCATCAACGTCACGTTCGTTTCGCCATCTTCTCATAAAACGATTTCCTCGTCTTATCATCGGCAAACTTGCCCAACACCGCATTAATCTTTCTCTTCCAGTAAATTCCAATCTTACTTCATTTCGTTTCACTCGTTTTCACTAATAAATGAACAGTTTCCTCCAAAAGAAAAAAAAATCCTACAATACCGATCTATGCAATTACATCAAACGCGCGTTACTCTCGGTTTATCAATGGAGATCGGATACAGCGTAAATGCCGATCGAATACATTAGGAAAGCTTGTTTCCTTCGATTCGCATGCATTCGTTCAACGTTATAAGCCGAAAGCTCGTTTACTACATTTTTATTTAAATTCTGTGCACGCTATACTTGGACGCGCATCTACATAATTCTAATTATTAAAAGAGCATGATCTAAAGTAAGATGTTCCAAAGACCGGATGCGTGTCCTGCTCAGATAGTCGAACGAGAATTTTCGTAGCCTGCGGCCCACGAGTTCAAGGTTCTAATTAGCATCGTTCTCGATCCATTTTTCAGCGGATCATCCTGGTTTGGTTTCCTGCGAGATCCAACGAGCACATGCAAAACAGCTACTTGGCGGGATCGGTTGGTTGTCGAGCGGCTCGCGTTAAAAAAGGTTTTCGATAGATAACGGTCCGCTCGTTGCGGAAGCGCTCCCGTTCAACGATCCGCGGACGTTGCTCTTAATTATTTATTACGCGTCGATGACGTAACCCTCGGGGAATCGTTACGGTGTCAGACACGGTGGAAATTTTATTAATTCGAATCGTCGCTTCATCGTGGAAATCTTTCTTCTTCTTTGCTAATGATTCTTTGTTTCTTATGTATTACATTTAGATACATGGGATTATCAATCTTTTTCCTTCTAGTATTTGACCCTCGATTCGCATACTGGGTCGTTTTCCATCAGCGATTATCATTAATTTTTCATTTTTCTCATACTTTTGTTTAAATTTAAACTCTGCTTGAAAAAATTAATTTAGCACGTAGATGTCGATTAAAAAGTACTCGGGTGATATTCTAGAAACTTGAAAGTATGTTCAAGAATTTTGGAGGATTTTTTAAAGACACAAAAACATAGAAGAAATAGATTTCGTGGACTCGAAGGACGTTTCATGCAGGCGACACGACGTTGGGAAAAGCGAGGTTGCAGACTTACGTGGTTAAGTATGGTGTTATATTTGTTTTTAATTGAAGTATTTAGTCCTAGTTTTAATCTTCTTTTTTTTTTAGATTTCTTTTTCCATTGAAAATGAGTGATCATAAGTAGTTTTCTTCTAACATTTAACCACGCTATTTACCACGTTTTCGAAGATTAGATTCGTGTTTCAATTTTAATGCATCAGGCTTTCCAAAGACAAGATTCAATTCTTACCAAGTTTATAAACAAATAAAGATTAAAATTCCACTTTGATCTAGAAATAAATTAAACAATGACACCTTGATGGTATTCTCTTAATTTTTGCTTGCTTCTAAACCAGATTTCGCAAATATTCCACGAATTGTGTTTCGAGGACATGTTTTGCCACGCGCGTTTCTCATATTCTGCTATTTTGAAACGTAAGCTTTCATCAACGTGTCGTCGCGATAACGATTAAGAGCCGCAGATGGATTAACGTTTCTCCGCGATTTCCTAGTAATTTCCCGCATCTTGGCGTCCTCGCTAATCGATCAGGACTTGTCATGGGAATCGTTCAATCTCCACTCGTCGACGATGATTTACAACGCGAGACAGACTATTACGATCGTTCTATAATAATGTGAGATTTCAGTTGAAAGATTCATTGAACGATACAAAAGAGACGATCACGTCGAATCCCATTTTAAACAACTAATTGCCTATATACAATCGAAAATAATCTCTTCTAATATTAAACGCTTAACTTTTCAAAGAAATTCCCAGCACACTTAAAAATTACAATCGTCGTGCCGTAATCTTTTCTTGTCTAATCATGAAACACAGGCAATTACGTTAAAGTTTATTAATACTCGAATTCTTCCTGCATTTTCCACGATGATAATGAAAGCCTGTTCTCGAATAGTTGCCGACCATTGTTCCGCGGAGGCGGCATTAATTACTCGTGTTCCTCTTTTGCTTTCTTCTTTCTTCGTCGTCGTAGCGGTCACAGGCACGCGTCGAAATGGTCTGGCGACAGTGAGGTCGACAGGCATCGTTTGGCAACAGATGGGAAAGGTATCTATGGCCGTAAGAAGTGCCGCTATGTCCCACATCGGCTGCCTACGATTCTGGCACGGTAACCACGTTCCCCTATTATATGTGCACACCTTCCGGCAGGTGGTTCCCGAGATTTGCTTCTCTTCCTTACAGGGATGCGTAGAGTTCGATTTATTCGAATATCGTATGCTTTCTGTACTATGTACTATGAAAAGCGAAAAGAAGATAGGACAATTCACATGTGCTGTATTCACGAAAGAATTGTCGTTCGGAAATGACGATTAGATTGCGGACTATTTTGCAAAATTCCTATTTTTGCAAATTTCCTATTTTTGCAAATTTCCTATTTTCATAAACGCAAGCGAGGACGTGGAACTTTCACGCAAGTTTAGAAAATAGACGTATGTACATGTGTATTGTACCAGCGAGGAATGAAAGAGAGGAAGACAAAAGGAAATCGCCGTGGGACAAGCGCATCGCGTATGTGTCGAACGAATGAATGTGCGATGAAACAAATTCATTGCTGTTTGAGATGTACAAGAGAATAGAAGGCTGTTCGTTAATATTTCAAGTGATTATGTTATGTATAAGATAGTTCTTCTGTTCTAATAAATTTTGTATTTCATAAAAAATTAACAATTGTCACGATGAGTATTTTGTATTTTGGATATTTCATGTATTTTTACATGATAATTAAACGATGATAATTATCGATGATAATTAAACATCAGACGTACACGCTGATACAAGACGTTGAAATTAGTACAAAGTAGTGTAACACCAGCTGTATTTGTACCTAACGTTTTTCTCCTTTCTAATTTCCCTCGATACCTCTAAATCGCGTGCTCGACTTACCAGCTTTCCTCGTTAGGGATGGTAATTACAGCCATCTTGATCCTTTTTTATTATACTAGCACGTTGTTAAAGGTACTTAAATGTAACAGACCGATGCTTACGTATATTCAACGCTTATATTTTTGTTCCCAGATTTCGCGAGATATCCCACAAGATATCTTCAAGCACGTACTTGAATTTTTTTTCACTCGTTGACACGATAATCCGTCTCGATCTTCTGCTTCCTTTTTTCAAATTTTGAAGCGAATTTCAGATCGCACAGCTGACCGGAGCACAAGT